ACTATCACAATGTTTATCACCCCGGGCTGACTCTGGAGAGGAGGACTAAGGGGTAGTGAAAGAGGCTGGGGAATAACCACAGAGACAGAGGGAAGGAAGGATGTTGACTACGTTGTCTTCCCTAGATCGACTTTCTTCTGGATGGCTCGGGCAGAGTGGCAGATGAGTGAGCCGATGAGTCCAGCCGCTGTAAACATGCCCCCAGTGACGGCGCACACACCTGTCAGGAAGTGCGTGACCTACAGGGGCACAGAACGGCTCGGTAGGCACCCTATTCTCACAGGCCCAGAGCCTTGGCCTCTTCCACTCCCTACCCTCGCCTGTGTTTTTCTGTTAGCTTCACCATCATAGAGCACAAAGACTCCTGGCAGGCCCTGGTCACCCAGCAGCCCATTGGCAACCTTCTCGTGCCTGGTCACAGAGAACTGGCTTGTCCTCAGCACCTCCCCATCCACTTTCATGTACACTGTGGGGACCGCCTTCATAAAGAACTGGAACATCATGGAGGCTAGGGTGCAGTGACATTGGTGCGGTCCAGGCGGTTCACAATGCCTGGATAGTCCTCCCCGAAGCTCTGCAAGTCGTGAACATGCACATGGGACTGCTGGAAGCTCTTCCCAGGGGCAAAGTGGAAGTTTCCAGCCACCTTGTTGACTTCCAAGAAGCCACACACCTGGCAGCCTTCATTTTTCTGCACCTGCATCTTCTGGCTGAAGCCCTCTCGTCGACACTGCCCAGAGGTGTCTGGGTTCTTGAAGGCCCAGCCTCGACGGCGGTATGCTTCACGTACATCTTCACAACGGTTACAGCACTTGAACTCCTCTGACTCAGCACCATGGCAGCTCTCACAGCAATTGGGGTCCAGGGAATCTGGGTCAAACACTGACACCTCGACTTTCCCAAGTTCGTGACGCTCCGCCTCTGAGCTCACGGGGACGCCATCCTTGTCTAGCCGTTTCTTGAACAGTTTGTGCTCCACATCCAGCTGCTGCTCCCCAGCCACGTCCGTGGCGTCGATGCTTAAATAGGCACAAGGCACGCGTGGGAAAAGAACATCGATGTTGATCTTCAGTTTAGCTCCCCGAGACTTGTCCACGTAGCGCTCAGGATGCACCTCGGTGGTGAGATAATACCGCACCTCGGACAGGAACAGCAGGAGCATGAGAAGGCCACTGACTATGGTCACCGCGGCGCCCCCGCAGGTTTTAACCCGGATGTCCTCCAGAGTCTTGGGATAGGCATCGAACTGCTTCAGCTTCCCCAGAGCCTCCTTGGGTACCGGCCGGAGAGGGGACACCAGCCGGCCCCGAGAACCACTGTTTTAAGGCCATAAAAAAGTCTTCCTTTTCCCTTTGAAAGGAGGAAGAAAGTTTCGAAAAAAAAATACAGATATTACAACTTAATTTGTAGTATTTAGAAAGAAAAAATACAGATATTGGGGAAATGAGGGGATAATGGGGGGGCTAGGGGGGGCACGGGAGGAGGGAAGGGAAAGGGAGAGGGACCTGGAACTGACTTGTGAAACAACCTTGTTTCTAATCTAAATTTAAACTTAAAATAAATAATAAAAAAATACAGATATTGCAACTTAATTTGTAATATTTACAAAGAAAAGTAAACAACCCGCTAACCACGAAGGGATTCGAACCCTCAATCTTCTGATCCGAAGTCAGACGCCTTATCCATTAGGCCACGTGGTCACAGTACTGTAGGTGCCTCACAAGATTTAAAAAGTAAAAGGCGCTTTCGGCTGAGCTTTTGCGGTACATTACAAAAGGCAATTTGGTTCACGCCGAGGATTTCTGTGGATTATTTGGGGTCACAGGGTCGGATTCGGGAAATGATGAGACCGAATTATTTCGGTACTGCAATACATGGCTGGTTTACGGAGAGAAAAGTCGTTTGCGTATACTCACAACTGCTTCCCTGTTCACGCTCCCTTGCACTTAGCATTCACACCAAGCGTCTGCGTGGGTGTGACCCTCCGGCGTGACAAAGCTACCTTCCCACGTTCTGGTACTTCTGCTGATTTTTATTACTTGGCATTACAGCACTTTTCCAGAGACACACTTGTTCGCTTAAAAAAGAAAAAAAAAATAGTTTTATTGGAAGCCTCTGGTGTCATGGGAGGCGGTCCAAGGCCATTACTTATTTTTAAGTTAGCTTTCACTAAGAAGAGGAGTAGAAATACAAAAAAATTTTTTTGACTATTACTAGTTTTTACACTTAATTCATGAATGAAAAAAGGCATTAAAATCATTTTAGAGAAGAAACATTCATAGAGTTTATGATGCTTTCATGATCGCTACACAGTTACTGGAGTTCACAAATGGGGTCTTTTCTGCAACCTTTCTTTCCTGTCAGTAGAATAACATCTGGAAAATAGCAAGAATGAAATAGAAATGTGAGTCCCACAGTGGTTTTTCAGGTGAGCCGAGTTTACACAGACACATTCTTCACTTCTGCAAAAGCTGACTGTGGAATTGTAACCGCGCCGGGCCTTAGCACAACTGACTCCACGGTGGAAGCGCCATTCAGTCTGTAAAAGTCAGCACGGAGACAGCACCACCTGCCAACACGAAAACAAGGATCTGACCATCAAAGTCCATAGTTCTGGGAAAGTCTCTAAATGTCCTTACCTTGCTTTTTGGCACCTATAGCTCTGCTTCTGACTTGTTAACTGTAGTATGCCAACCCAGGACATTTTTTTTCTTTTTCTTTTCTTTTCTTTTTTCTTCTTTTTTTCTTGCGCTTAAAAGCCTGTCTTGAGAAGGCTTGAGACACGACATTGGGATCCTGAACACACAGTGTATTCCCTGGCTGTCTAAAAAAGACTTTCTATTGGCTTAAACTCACATATGAGCAGTCTTCTCTAGTGGAGCCCACAACAGAATGATGTTCTCTTTCTTCCAGGAGTTGGAGATTTCTTGAAAAGCTGCTCAGATGTTCAAATGGCAAGTGCAGTCTGTGCCTTCACTACCATGGGAAATGGTTGAAGTGGTGAGAATGGTTGATGGAAATCATATCCGTCTTCGAGACTTATTTCTGCAGCTACAACAAAGTTTGTGTTAACTAAATGGACTTAGTAGGTTGTATTTATGTACATGCTTATATATATATATGTCATGATATAATAATAATAAAGTGGTCAAGAATTTCATAGGGATTGACAGGATGCTTATGGGAGAAGCTAGGTGGAGAGGGAGGGGGAAATGATACAATTACATTTTTTTTTTTTTCGAGACAGGGTTTCTCTGTGGCTTTGGAGGCTGTCCTGGAACTCACTTTGTAGACCAGGCTAGCCTCGAATTCACAGAGATCCGCCTGCCTCTGCCTCCCAAGTGCTGGGATTAAAGGCGTGCGCCACCAACGCCCGGCTACAATTACATTTTAATTGAAAAAAACTGCAAAACAAATAAGCAACACCCTCCAAATTTGTGTTGGGTGTGTTGGAGAAACATTTGGGAGGGTGGTGTGTGTGTGTGTGTTTGTGTTTAAGATCTGTTTTGCTAAGTTTGTGTATGGAATGTTAAGGTAGAGATTACCAATTTAAGAGGGTCTGTCTTACATAGCTGAATATAGACAGTCCCAGACATACACATGGAAGCAATCCCATAGAACCTGTATTAGGGGTCCTGTGTTCTAACATTTCATGCCGTTTCCAGTGGTTGAATAGCTGAACTGAGTGCAGCCGCTTCTCTTTGCCGAGCCCCCTCCCTCACCTTCATATTCTTCCACACTGAGTTATTATAGTTAGAAATGTTTCTTTCTCATGTGTCCTTCTGTTTGCTCTTTTGCCCAGATTTTTTTTTTTGACTGTGCTGAAAGCACTTACTCAAGTTTCTTGTCAAAAATCCATCCCTTTTTCTGGTCTATAAATGCCAGTGTGATGGCTGCAGAAACTCCATTTATGCTGTGTATCCATCTTGGTACCCACTCATCATTTGTTCTGACTCCAGTCTCTGGGAGATAAGTTTCCAGTAACCACAACTCAGTGAATCCCACCCAAAAAACGTACAGCCGTCATGATGTATTTTTCTTATCATATGACTGTTGGTTTTGTTGTAACTTGTTTACACAGATACCCAAAGATTGTTTTGAGCTTCCTTAACCTCTTCACTTGGCAAAATGCTTGCTTGCTTGCATAGATACAGAAGGTCTTCCTGTGATTTTTCCCTTTATAAACTCTTCCCCAGACCCCTGCTTCATGGCAACCTCAAATTTAGCTCAGAGATTGTCCTTCCTGCTTAGCAGCTGGTCAATCAATCTTTTCATTATAACTGGATTCAGTCTATAGTCCTCTCCCAGGGGACACAAACTCCATAATCCTAAGGCAAAGCTACTAGACCTAAACTGCTCTATGACTGTCATAGTGATGATCCTTGGTCACACTCTGAAAAGTGAAATCCCAGAATGTGCATGTGGCTCCTGGGTAGTATTCTGTTCTACATCCCGAAGCTGACAGCATATTTAACATAGATATGACCAGTGAACCAGGGAATCAGCTCACTGTAACCACATTGACTCCTGTTCAAGTGGACTTTTATTTACTAGATAGCAATGACTGATGATGCTGTAGCTCTCAGTTGGAGACAAGAGTATCTGCTACCAAGGAGTAGAGGGCAAGAAAGCCTTCTCTGGTCTGTCATCCTTGTGACAGTCTTTTTCTGTATTGTAATCTTTGCTGTAATCTTTAAATTGTGAGTGTACACTGAGCCCCAAGTCATTGCACTGGGTGGTTAGGGGCTGCAATCAACAACTGGTTTTGTTCTCACAGCTTGAAAACTCGTCTCTTTATCATCATTAATTAATTATCTGTGTAGATCTGGCTTTCCTGGAACCCGCTCTGTCATGGGGTTGGCGTGGGAACTCAGAGATCCACCTGCCTGTGCCTCCTGAGTGCTGGGATTAAAGATGTATGCCACTACTGCCTGAGTAGTCCTTTTTTTTTTTTAAGTAAAATTTTATTTATTTATTTATTTATTTATTTATTTATTTATTTATGTCTGATGCAAGAAAACAAGGCTACTAGGTGCTTGGTGGCTCTGTCAATTTTCTCAAGGGCTGATCTTGACCTTTAGCCCCCACTGAGGAGAATTTATCCCCATCTCTCACAGCCTAATGAGAGAGAGGCCTTTGAACTTCTGTTTTCGGATGCAGTAAAGTTGTTTTTAAAAGACATAGTAAACCCTTTTGGCAGAGGCAAGGGGAGCAGTTCAAGGTCACTCAAAACGCTTATCTAGATTATAGGGTATTTAAAGTATTTTTCTTATTAATTTCCATGACGGCAACGGACACATAAAATTTAGGCAGGAATCCTTCCTGGGAGAGATACATGAGACAGTGAATTCATAGCTTAGAAAATAAGCGTAGAGAATAGCTATAGCTTCGCAAAAGACAGGACCAGGGTTGGCAGCAGACAGGGTTTTCTCGGTCAGACTTCAAATTGAAGACCCCCACCCCCGACACAGTTCCCTAACTCCACACTTCTCAAAACAATACACGTTGCTGTCAAGATTAAGACTGTAGTAATCGCAAAGAACATCTGACGGGACCTATTCTAGTCTATTACCATACCCTTGGCAAATAAGGTCTTATAAATCAAGTGAAAGAAACTGAACTGTTCTTCCGTTCTTACCCTTGGATATATGCCTTCGGTTAGCGATTTTAGAGGTTATAGGGCAAAGTAATCAGAATAAATCTGGTTTGTTATCAAGGGATCACAGTAGATACCAGCTGGGCATCTATGAAAACACAAAATGTCTGGTTTCTTTTCGCAGGTATCGTTTGACTTTATATTTGACTTGGGAGGGAAAAAAAAAACCTTAGCTAGCAGAGGATGGTTTCGATCCATCGACCTCTGGGTTATGGGCCCAGCACGCTTCCGCTGCGCCACTCTGCTTCACAAACAGAGCTTGCTAATAATATTCTTAACGTTGATTGCAGTTGGTGTCCTATGCCTACTCTACAAAGTAGGAAGAATTCGGACAAGAGTAGTAAACATTAACATAATAATGAGTCGATGTGGACGAGAAAGACAGTAAATATTTAAACGAGAATCACGAATTTCCGACAATGGCGAAAACAAGACAATATAGACACCGCAGTTTATAACAGTCTTAGTGATCAGCCACGCGGGAAGCAAAACTTTGGGGTCAGGTTTGTCTTGAGGTCGAGATCGTGGAGGAAATGGTGCTGTGTTCTCTCCAGTGTTTGGTCCTTTACAGCAGGGGATAAAACTATGAGAAGTGGACTCACACGCAACCCTCATCTTGCAAGTCTGATCGTCTGAATGACCAAAGCTCTGCTGTCGCTCTAATACGTAGCAAGGCAAATATGAATCATTAAGAGATCCTTTAGTCTGAATTACTTAAAATGGTCGGGAAGTCATATTTTGGAACAAAGGACCCAGGTCAGGGAGTAGGAACAGCAAGCGTTGGTGACGTCACTAGCCATGGCCCTCTCAGAAGCGGGGCGGGGCGGCTGCGCTCGAGCTTTCAGTCTTCAATTAGGTCCGAAAACCCTGCATATAAGGGAAGTGCTTGGGCCTCTCCCGCTGCTGAGGTGTAGTCATCCTCTAGCTGTATCATGTCTGGCCGTGGTAAAGGCGGGAAAGGCCTGGGCAAAGGCGGCGCCAAGCGTCACCGCAAAGTCCTCCGCGACAACATCCAGGGCATTACCAAGCCCGCCATCCGCCGCCTGGCCCGCCGTGGCGGAGTCAAGCGCATCTCCGGCCTCATCTACGAGGAGACCCGCGGGGTGCTGAAGGTGTTCCTGGAGAACGTGATCCGCGACGCGGTCACCTACACGGAGCACGCCAAGCGCAAGACCGTCACCGCCATGGACGTGGTCTACGCGCTCAAGCGCCAGGGCCGCACGCTCTACGGCTTCGGCGGATAATCTGTCCTTCCCTCTGTCTTAGCAAAAAAACCAAAGGCCCTTTTCAGGGCCGCCCACGTTTTCAGTAAAAGGGCTGATACTTGTTTACTCCTTTTACCTCCCCATGTTGCCTTTCTACCAGTGTTAAAAGGTAGGCCCTATAATGCTGTCTATTATACATTAACTTGTCCTTGTAATGTTGGCTACTCTGAAGATTCAGCAATCGTGTTTACGGGAACGGTAATGCGCACTACCTGATATGTTCCCTGTGTGTAAACGGCTCGAGTTTTGTGGACAAAGGCTTCGATCTTGGAGGTGTAGCCGGGGACAAAGGCTTTGTATGGTAGCTAAGCACACAGACTCCTGTGGTTGGTCCGTTCTGTGCTAAGTGCTGAAACCAGGCTTGATAGGTTGTCTGGAGTGTGCTGCAAACCCACACGGCCTTCGGCTGCTTTATTCTGGCACACCTATGACGGAGGACTGGTGTTCGCGTAAAGGATTTTCAAAATTGGGCATTAGATGCAATGTAAAACTGTCTAGCTTTATGCAAACATCTCAACTTTGGTTGGTTGGATGTCCGAATAGAAAACCCAAGACACTGTAAGTACAATTGGCATTTTCAATGTGGTTCAAGTTTGTATCTTCTGGAATCAGGTTTCAGCTAGGAGTGCTAAGATTTGAGAGTACTGTACACCAAACAATTTGGGCTTAAATGTCCTGACACCTTGTTTAATAAAAAAGGAAAAGGTGCTAGAAAGTAACTTGTGTGGTTATCCCCTGAAATCAACAAAACTAATGGAGTTAGTGGGATTTTCACTTCTCTCTCCTCCCCCCTTCTCTCAGGATGCAACTCAGTTTCACAGACTTTGGCTTTGCAGCAATTGTTAACTTGACTCGCTCAGCCTTCTGGCTGTCTCCTTGCTTCTCATTTTTAATTTTTATTAGTTAATTGTTATTATAGTTTTGGTTTTTCTTTTTTGAGATAGTTTCTTTGTGTAGCTCTGGTTGTCCTGGGAGTCACTGTAGAGTAGGCTGGCCTCGTATTCAGAGATCAGCCTGCCTCTGCCACCTTGCCTTTAATCCTGAGTGAGTGCCTGTGCCACCGCCGCCTGGCTAAGCGTTTCTGTGGGTAAGGGGAAAAAAAAATCAGACACTATATTGGAGTTTAAGAAGAATGTGTTTGAGTAAGAAAAAAAGTATTCGAGGCTTAAAAAAAATTCTGAACACACTACCTTGCAGGGTTCTCCCTGCAGATAGAGCGGGGTAAGGGCTGATCCAGCAAGTCTCTTCCCGTGGCTGAGCAGGATGGTGAGTGTCGACGACTCAGACCCTTCCCCCATTAGTTACCGGGGAGAAAAAACATACACTGAGTCAGGAGTCTGTCGAAGCAGGATCTCAATTATTCCAACACGCAGGAACTTATATAGGGCTGAGGGTAGGGGATGGGAAACATAGGATAGGGTAAGGAGTAAGGGCCAGTAATATTCCACCAAGCAGGCAGGTAGCTAGGCAGGGGGCAATCTTGCATCAGGTCTGGCTGAGTCACCCCCTTGTGGAGGTTACAGGTTAGAGACAGGTCGCTAAACTCTAGCCAGGCTCAGGAGGTTACACTGGGCCTCGCATCCAAGCCTTTCTTAGGCCCAGCACTACGTGTCAGCCACTGTTTTATGCTCTGGGGATTATAGGTATAAATAATTTAAATGTGTATGTATGGGTGTTTGTGCACCATGCACGCACACAAGGAAGCCAGAAGGTTTCAGATTCCCTGGGGAACTGGGGTTCAAGATGGTTGTGAACCACCATGTGGGTGCTGGGAATGAGTCTTCAGTCCTCTGCTGAGCATTCTCTCTAGCCCAGGACAAAATATTCTTAAATCTTCCATGTTAAATTTAACAAGCTGCCGATGCCAGCTGAAGGGACACAGAAATAGATAATGAAGCATCTTAATGTTAGCCCCACTCATGTGATAGACAACAAGCCTGTCTGCTCCTCTTTCTAATCGAACGACAGAGCAGAGGGCTGGTTTACTGACTATGCTGCTCTTTGCCTCTAGTCTGTATATAAGCAGGTTCTAAATTAAACTCTGCTGTTTGGTGTGCTGTATGGCACTAACTGGACAGTCCTCCTCACTCTGCCTTGTTGTCTTTGTCTTCTTTCTCTTAACACCCTTAGGTATCCCAGCTTACTCGGAGTACGCTCTCACAGAGAATCAGTGCTCTCCACTTATGGTGGCTAACTCACAACAACCAAATGCATCCCCAGTTCTAGGGGGATCTTCTGTACAGAGACACATACATATAATAAAAAATAACTCGTCTAAGTATTGAAGCTAAGACCAACACTTCTCTGTATATTGTTTTACATCTTCCTCAGCCTGCCCAGGCCCATACAGGGGTGAGACATACTTAGCAAGTTTCTCCTTTTATCTAGGCTTTCCCTAATTAATTCTTGTTAGCTCTAGTGAGTTTGTGGAGAATCCTGTAAAGGCCTTACATTGCTTTAGATGGAGGTTGAGGGGTGACAATATTTAGAGGTAAAAGACCTTGGGTTTCCAATAACACTAGAGAGTTTCACTGTTAGAAAAGTATCCCTTACAGGACCAGTTGAAGAACTTTGACACAGAGGTTTAGCAAAGCTGCTAGGCCACAGTCTCATTAAAGTCACAGGTTAGAGGCTTCCACTGTGAGATCCAAGGCTTGAAGCACAATAGGCCATTCCCTTGGTACACTCACTGTCCAGTCTCAACTGCTTTTCTTAATTTCAGGAATGCCATGCAGCAATTATTATGTATCTTCCATTTAGGATTAGGAAATGCTCCAAGAGGGATTATTTGCCTCAGTATACAATTCTAAGCATTCACAACTCTTACTTTGTCTGGAAGGCTATATTAAATGGCTGAATATTTCTGAATAAACTGTTTAAAAAATCCTTAAAGTTAGCAAACAGTATTGAAAAAGGGTAAATTTCTATTACAAGCCTCTTTACGTTATTGTGACACTTAACATTCCTATCAATTTTTAGGTACTTGAAGAAAGTCACGAAGGTAATAAGAAATTACTGACTTCAGACAAACTGCCCCAGTCCTATAATATTTAGAAGTTTTTAAATTTGGGGGATGGGTGTGTTGGCACAGGCCTTCAAACCCAGCAATCAAGATAGAAGTAGGAGAAACTCTGTGAGTTGGAAGCCAGCCTGATTTACAGTGAATTCCAGGTGGCCTATACCTTTAATTCAATAGGGTGACAAAAGCAGATAAAACTTTTGGTGACTAATTTTACTTTATATGAAAACTGTTTATGAAAATAACCACCTGATTGTCACTTTAGGAGGCTCAGTATAATGTAAATACAACCAGATGGTGGGTGATGTATCCCATAGTCACTTTCAAGTCTTGTTACTTTGTAGTTGTTTTCCATTACGCGTTAGGCATGTATGGAAACTTGTACTGAATCTTGACTAAGCCACTAGTGACCAAATGAAACATTCTTTAGCCAAACATTGAATTGTTTTACACCCACTAACAAAGGGCAGTTATGCAGAGAAGATCATGTAGAATTACAACTCTTCTTAAAGAATAAATGAGTGGCTCTGAAAAGAGCCTTTGAGTAAAGAGTTGAGATCGCGCGCTCACTTGGAGCTTGTGTACTTGGTGACGGCCTTGGTGCCCTCGGACACGGCGTGCTTGGCCAGCTCCCCGGGCAGCAGCAGGCGCACGGCCGTCTGGATCTCCCGGGACGTGATGGTCGAGCGCTTGTTGTAATGCGCCAGGCGAGAGGCCTCGCCCGCGATGCGCTCGAAGATGTCGTTGACGAACGAGTTCATGATGCCCATGGCCTTGGAGGAGATGCCGGTGTCGGGGTGTACCTGCTTCAGCACCTTGTACACGTACACGGAGTAGCTCTCCTTGCGGCTGCGCTTGCGCTTCTTGCCGTCCTTCTTCTGCGCCTTGGTCACGGCCTTCTTGGAGCCCTTCTTCGGGGCGGGCGCCGACTTCGCGGGCTCAGGCATGGTAAACAGATACAAATCTCAGCGTTGAAAGAGAAAAAGGTTTTGAAGCGCGTCTCCTCTCCCTGCTATTTAAACAACGCTGTGGCTGGTCTTGCTAGAGAGTCTGCATACGTCATGCATTAATTGTCCAATCAAATCAAGAATGTTTCAAAACCATGTTACTATTGGCTTAAGTAAAACAGTATATGTAGCCAATGAAACTCCTCTGTTTTCGCGCCGCGAGATGCTTATAAGTTCGCTGCTGTGCTCCATTGCTTTACGCTGAGCTTTTTGTTGCAGTTAATTCCGCATCATGTCTGGACGTGGCAAACAGGGCGGCAAAGCTCGCGCCAAGGCTAAAACCCGCTCCTCCCGGGCCGGCCTGCAGTTCCCCGTGGGCCGCGTGCACCGCCTTCTCCGCAAGGGCAACTACTCGGAGCGGGTGGGCGCCGGCGCCCCGGTGTACCTGGCTGCCGTGCTGGAGTACCTGACGGCCGAGATCCTGGAGCTGGCTGGCAACGCGGCCCGCGACAACAAGAAGACGCGCATCATCCCGCGCCACCTGCAGCTGGCCATCCGCAACGACGAGGAGCTCAACAAGCTGCTGGGCCGCGTGACGATCGCTCAGGGTGGCGTCCTGCCCAACATCCAGGCAGTGCTGCTGCCCAAGAAGACCGAGAGCCACCACAAAGCCAAGGGAAAGTAAGACCACTGCTTTTCACACTGGTCTTCACTATAAAATACACAAAGGCTCTTTTCAGAGCCACCCACTTTAACAGTAAAAAGTGCTGAATACTGTATTTAATTTGGGCTTAGTCAAATTTATGCATGTTGGGTTAATTTCTGTTAACCAGAAGCTTCTCAACAATAAAATTCCCAAGCTCTGCAAACTTCCGAAATGAATGTATCATGATTTCTCACCAGTTGGTAAAATTACCCTCAAGTCATTTTTAGTCTCATGTATGCACATATAAATAGGTACTTTGAGATGCGGTTTTTAAGGAAGGGATTGCCTTTTTGAGATTGTTTAGAATTTGAAAATATGGCAAGTTAGTACTAATAAGGTATGTTGATATGTTCACGAAGTCCTGACAGACTAGCCTGATGAAACCAAAAGTAGAAAAGGACAAAGGAAAGGCCTTGTTTTCGGTATTTAAGAGTATCGTGTCACAGAGGCCTCACAGCCTCAGATACCTTAAAAACATGTTGGTATACTTGTACAAAATTTCGCTCATTTAGTGCTTTACTTAGTGTCTTGCAAAATAGTTTTTCATTAAGAGTAAGGAGGTTGAAAAGCGGTCACCATCGAAGAAGTTAATACCAGCCCCTAGGATTTTATGGAAATTGTTAGGTAGGATAAAGCTTCACCCAAGGTGACAATGCAGAATTCAGAGGCTCGTTGACTTGGGTTGTTCCCGTTATTTTCACGCTAGCCGGTTTACCCTCATTTGTGGAGCTAGAGCATCGCAAACCAGTTACTAGAAGGGAAAAATAAAACCCACGGGAGGGTGAAGAACATGCTTTGCAGAATGGTTTTTGGGATCTAGAGTGTCAAGGCATTTTATAGTCGGAATCTTTTGTACTCAAGTTTTGCAAGCGGTTCCATATAAGACAAGCATGGAGTCATAAATTATTAAAAACTCTGGTGTGCCAAGCTAAAAGAAATGCTTTGTGTTGCAATTCATCCTAATAAGTATGCAAGAGTTAACCAATCAACGCTTGAACTGTTCAGCCAATAGTACTAGTGCGCGGGACTTTTGAAAAATGCATAAGCCTATCAGACTATATCTCTGTGGGGAGGAGGGGAACACAAGCTGGTGCTTGTGTTTGCGCGTGCGCGAACGCAAGCCTACATAAAGGCAGCCTTAGTGCAGGTTAGTTGGTTTTCCACTGTCCTTTGCAGTTATGGCACGTACGAAACAAACCGCTCGCAAATCCACCGGCGGCAAGGCTCCCCGCAAGCAGCTGGCCACCAAGGCTGCCCGCAAGAGCGCCCCGGCCACCGGCGGCGTGAAGAAGCCCCACCGCTACCGGCCCGGCACCGTGGCCCTGCGCGAGATCCGACGCTACCAGAAGTCCACCGAGCTGCTGATCCGCAAGCTGCCTTTCCAGCGCCTGGTGCGCGAGATCGCGCAGGACTTCAAGACCGACCTGCGTTTCCAGAGCTCGGCCGTCATGGCGCTGCAGGAGGCCTGTGAGGCCTACCTGGTGGGTCTGTTTGAGGACACCAACCTGTGCGCCATCCACGCCAAGCGAGTCACCATCATGCCCAAGGACATCCAGTTGGCCCGCCGCATCCGCGGAGAGCGGGCGTAAAGTATGATCATCTACGTATCCACTTTTAAGGCTCTTCTTAGAGCCACCCATCTTCCAAAAAAAATAGCTGTAATGCCCTTTACCCTGATTTTTAAAACACCGCAGTATTTTCTTGAGTGTGCCAAAGCTTTGTTCCTGGTGATTACATGGAATTCGCAGAAGTTTCTTTCCTTTGTATTAGTATGGCGTGTTTGGTAGTGTCAGCTACAATATAACCTGTTGGTAATAGACTTAACATTCTGAGGCTCCCGCCATGTAATCGCTTCTTAATCGCTTCAGAGTGGGGACAGAAGCAATAGAATTGTAGCTGTCAATTTTGTTTTCCCAGACTTAAAATGGTAACTGAATTTAGCAAGCACTTCACAGCTTCCCTAGACTCTTAACCCACCAAGAAATCCTTTATCAAACCATTTCTCTTCTCCCCCACCTCAACGGATTCACTTAGGCATCTTAGTCTAGTCTGTGACTAGCTATGTATCCCATAATGGTCTGCAACCAGGAGACCTGCCTGTTTACCCCCTCCCCTCTGCAAAATGCTGAGATTAAAGCATTTAACCCCACCGTGCCTTGCCCTTTGGGCTTTTTATTTTTGAGATCCTGAAACTTCATGTTTTTCTTTAGTTATTTGTGTTCAGTTGGTTTAACAATCACTAGGAAGCCATCCACCTTGTCATTGGATTTGTCCTACAAGTTATTATCACAGCGTTTTGTTAGAGGTTTTGAAGGTTCGCTTTTAAGGGACTAAGCCAATGACTGATGGAAGAAAGACTTATTTGATGCTTGGATGTTGAAAAACACCCAGATAATGCTAAAACCACTAGTTTCTAAACACTATTCCACGAAGAGTCATGAATCACAGAGCACTTTGATTTTATCCCTCAAGTACCCTTGGGGAGACATTTTTGAACCTTTCACTTTTAGGCTTAGCTGCTTTCTACATAAAGCTTTGTAAAATGTCAATAATTGGCTTCCTTCCACAAGACAAAGTAATTGTTAACTTGTTGTACTCTCCCCCCCCCCCTTTTTTAAAATAATATTCAGGATACTTGGCAAATGAATAACCTAGTCTGGCTCTGCCTCCACAATACAGGTTCAGGATCTATCGTCTACCATCTCTTTTATGTACGAGAGTAGGGTCTCTGTGTTGCTGTGGATTAAAGGTGTGACCAGGCTGTCCTGGTTGGGTTCCCATTTGACAGTATTAAAGGTGTATATTGTAAAGAGGCGCAGATCCAGGATTTTAGTAATTTTCTCTGACCTCATCAAGCCATGAGTGGTAGTGATGTCCCGGGTGATGCAGATGCCAAGAATTTTACTGAAGTTCTCTAGTGAAAAACTGAAGGTGGAGACATAGACCTTAGATTTTAGTGATTCTAAATAACTGATTTGACCTCCCTGTCCTTCTAATTGGAATTTACCTACTTAACTCCGAAATGTAAGACTACAGCACAACACGGCTGGAGTTTCACTTCCAGCCACATCTTACACCATCCAATTACAATATTCAGAAATAAGTTATCGGCAGATTATCGGCATGTATTTCCCCGTATTACGTAGAGTTCCTAGAGTCAGACCTGTAAACATGTTTAAAAGGCCTTTAGTACTTCGTTTTTACAGCTCCAAATACACCCCACCCCTAAGTGGATCCAACACAGAAATGGTGACGGACTGCTATCTATCCCATTACAACTACAAGACAGGCATGAAAAAGCCTGTGCTATTATGCTGTTTAAAATATAGCATTACAACAACTCTTAAATGACAACATGGTGGCTCTGAAAAGAGCCTTTGGGTGGTATAAGCAAGAGATCGCGCGCTCACTTGGAGCTGGTGTACTTGGTGACGGCCTTGGTGCCCTCGGACACGGCGTGCTTGGCCAGCTCCCCGGGCAGCAGCAGGCGCACGGCCGTCTGGATCTCCCGGGACGTGATGGTCGAGCGCTTGTTGTAATGCGCCAGGCGAGAGGCCTCGCCCGCGATGCGCTCGAAGATGTCGTTGACGAACGAGTTCATGATGCCCATGGCCTTGGAGGAGATGCCGGTGTCGGGGTGTACCTGCTTCAGCACCTTGTACACGTACACGGAGTAGCTCTCCTTGCGGCTGCGCTTGCGCTTCTTGCCGTCCTTCTTCTGCGCCTTGGTCACGGCCTTCTTGGAGCCCTTCTTCGGGGCGGGCGCCGACTTCGCGGGCTCAGGCATGGTAAACAGACACAAAAGTCAGCGCTGAAAGAGAAAAAGGTTTTGAAACGCTTCTCCTCTCCCTGCTATTTAAACAACGCTGTGGCTGGTCTTGCCAGAGTATGCAAACGTCATGCAATAACTGTCCAATCAAAGCAAGCATTTTATCTAGCGAATTGCCTACCGTATTTCTTGAAAGACAAGCGTTCTAGTGTTTACAGGCAGCCTATGCAAATAAAGTATGATCCTTCTTCGTTTCCGATTGGCTAAAGTAGACATCAGAAGTTCTATATTCAAATTAGACGAAATAAAGCTTTTAGACAAAAAAAAAAAAAAACCCGCTGACATCACAGTAAAGGCAAACTTTCTTTTTAAACGTTAAAATAAATTATTTTGTCACTAGTATCCCTGAATTCTGTCCCCTAGGCACAAAAACCTGATATAAATTCTAGCTTCACATAAAGTTTGGTTCATGTTTTGAAGTCATGAATTCAATGAAGGACCCAGAGGGTAGATGTCACAAACCCTAATGCTTCTAGAATTCCCAATTATTGTACAGTCCGTTTTTAGCAGGCAGGTTTTTTTTCCCTCTCAAGAATCAAAGGAAGTTACAATTTGCAACACCAGTGCAATTCTAATGATCCCCGGATATATTTTCTGGAAATCACTCTAGTTTTTTTTTAAGATGCATTCTTAGTTACGTTTTGAGGGAAAGCGTATAATAAAACTAATTAATTCATTAAAAGATGGACAAAATCGAGTGTGTTCGTGCGTCTGTAGTTAGACTACATTTGGTTTTGAAAGCAATATGTTCCCTTTCCTTCTTTCCTGGAACTACAATATAAAGAATAGTACAAAATTCAGTTTGGGTAACCAATATACCTTTAAACTGCTCAGGAGTGGTCAAAATCCCCAATAGTCTCTAATTTGTTGGTAAGCAAAATTAAGGTACTTAATTGCACCAATGTCTCTAAAGCAGTAACATGGAACAAAGAACCAGACCGCAAATAATATAGGACATTTTCATTGGTTACACATTTTAAAGTGGAGGTCTGTGATCTAATTACCAATCCCTTCCGTAGACATCATTCACGGCGCGGCGTTTGAAGATTCCCACCAATCAGGAAGCTCTTGCTGTTATAAATAGGAACTCCCCCTCGCGCTTCAGCCTCACATCTTTTGTTCCAGCAATGGCTCGTACTAAGCAGACAGCTCGAAAGTCCACCGGCGGCAAAGCCCCGCGCAAGCAGCTGGCCACCAAGGCTGCCCGCAAGAGCGCCCCGGCCACCGGCGGCGTGAAGAAGCCCCACCGCTACCGGCCCGGCACCGTGGCCCTCCGTGAGATCCGGCGCTACCAGAAGTCCACCGAGCTGCTGATCCGCAAGCTTCCTTTCCAGCGTCTGGTGCGCGAGATCGCCCAGGATTTTAAGACCGACCTGCGCTTCCAGAGCTCGGCCGTCATGGCGCTGCAGGAGGCCAGCGAGGCCTACCTGGTGGGTCTGTTTGAGGACACCAACCTGTGCGCCATCCACGCCAAGCGAGTCACCATCATGCCCAAGGACATCCAGCTGGCCCGCCGCATTCGTGGGGAGAGGGCGTAACTTTGATAACAAAATCTGATAAAGACAAAGGCTCTTTTCAGAGCCACCTCCAATTTTCTTTGTAAAGGGCTGCTACATAGTTCCTCCTTTGATCTAAAGTAGATTGTGCTTTGTGCTGTAGAGTCTCTTTTTCCCGTTTGTTTCTTAGGAAATAACTTTAGACGAGTGTAGCACGCATCTCAAGCGATGCATGTTTGGGTCGTGGTGTTGTATGTGAAATTGTAAATTTGGGAGGTGAGCCAGGAGGAGCAGCTGTTCAAGATGAATTTCAACCAAATCGCCTAATAAGCAAGCCTAACATCAGACCTTGTCTTTAAAAAACCTGGGATATTTGTCTTGTCAAGTTTAAGGCAGGCTTGAGTAATATGGTAGCCAGACAAAAATATTTAATTATTCCAAAGGGTAGTCAGATTTGAACAGAAATGTGAGTTGGATGCTATTTTTCTGTTTAACTTACTTTGTTTGGAGTTCTATATATATGGAAACTATATGGAAAGTTCCCTCAATGGTAGTTATTGAAATATTCATACATATTAATGATGTATTTACTTTCACATGCTCCCGACCATTAAGATACACACACAGTGCAGTTGTTGCTGGTAGATGATAAAATTCTCTTATTAAAATTGTGGGAAATTAAATGGGTAATAAAATTATGTTGGAAACAAATTATGGAAACATAACGAGATAGGTCCTCTTAGCAGATAATCATTAAAGGCCTACCTGGGATGAGAGTAGCATGGTTCACTGTTCCAAGGTGTTGGCCATGGATGTTATTTTTTCCTTTCCTGGGTGTTGATTTTGAAGTCATCTGGTGTGGTGGGAGGATCTATAAACAGGGCTTGTCAGGCAATACTAGCAAAGGTTATTAGGGATTTCACATTAACATACAACCAAGGACAGTCTAATACTGTGAACCTGGAACTGGAGAACAGGTGAGAAAGGAGGCATTCAGACTTGGCAGTATTAAACAAAGAGCTTCCCTGCAAATGGGGAAATTCAGAATTTTATGCCTGGTGTATTGTAATAAGGAGTGCTTACCAACCACAAAGACCTGGATCATTCCACGCCTCTTCAGAGAGTGACAGAACAGATGACAGGGCCAAGAGTTCACTTTTTACTATTACCTGCATTTTCTGTTTACCTTGCAAGACACTCAATTAACTGCATATTCCCAAGTACAAATAATGTTCAGAATGGCCACGAGACATGGAAATGTACAGCTTTTTGAAGATCAAGTGGGTGGTCCTGAAAAGGACCTTTTGCGAAAATGGGAGAACACGCAACAATGGCTTAACCGCCGAAGCCGTAGAGCGTGCGGCCCTGGCGCTTGAGCGCGTAGACCACGTCCATGGCGGTGACGGTCTTGCGCTTGGCGTGCTCCGTGTAGGTGACCGCGTCGCGGATCACGTTCTCCAGGAACACCTTCAGCACCCCGCGGGTCTCCTCGTAGATGAGGCCGGAGATGCGCTTGACTCCGCCACGGCGGGCCAGGCGGCGGATGGCGGGCTTGGTGATGCCCTGAATGTTATCGCGGAGGACTTTGCGGTGGCGCTTGGCGCCACCCTTGCCAAGACCTTTCCCTCCCTTGCCGCGGCCAGACATAACGAACAGAAGCTAAGAGTAAGCTCAAGCTGACCAAGCGCCCTCTACAGCTGCTATATATACGAGGACTGCGGACCTTTTAGAAAACTGAAAAGGCGCGGGCGGGAATGTGCTTCTGTATCCGCCCCTCTACCTCACTGACTGACTGACTCCCATTGAATGGAGGAAGGCATAGGAGCTGTGGTGTGAGGGGAATGTGAGTCTCCCGCTGTCCTCTTGGAGTTCTTAGTCACTAGTTGTGTCCTTTAGGAGTGTGCTTGTGGGTTCAGACAGCTGATATTTTATAAATCTCCTAGTCAGTCATCATTTGCAAAAAGGTTGTAGCCATACAGTTGCCTAGGAAACCAGATACACTACAATAAGATTGCCTTTTAAGTGGAATACTTAGAAAAAAAGTCTCATTTTTTGCAAGCATTATTAAATATGACCTGTCGAGAAGCTTTGCAAATTAAAAAAAGGAACACCTAAATTCTGTAAAGTAACAGCTCAATAATGTTATTGAAGTAAGGCTGTACACATACATCAGTTTATTAACTAATACACGAGTTTCAATGTTTTCTCACACTGCACTACAGAGGTAGTTTTTTCTTGATTTTTTTTGAGGCAGTAGAGCAAAGATTATTTTTGAATACACTCTAGTCCATACTGAAATCAAACCTGAGGCATTTTTCCTTTTTTAGCATCTGTAGTGCTGATGTGAGTCCCATCCTTGTCTGGAAAGGTCATCTTGAAGATGTGCTTTGGCTGGTGCTTGTCTGAGAAATGTCTATGGTGATGGAAGAGAAAAATTATTAAAAGAAAGCTCCAACTACTCAGAATGTACTTGGTATTTAGCTTATCCCAAATAACCCAGAGAAAGACACAGTGACATCCTCTCCCCCCCTGAAGAACTGAAAGGCCACTTAAGGGGAAACTAAATTCAGGATGAGGGGTTTGATGTGCCTTCAGGTCAGCATATTCCTAGCTGGTGCCTAGTCTCCCAGTGAAGCAGCAAAATCCCAGTTGCATTGTCCTTGCACTGAAACTGTTTTAAATACACAGTTTCATTTATGCAGACTGTGGTTACGAATGTGCTGCATCCGGAAGAACTGGCCTTTCTGAAGACAAGAAGGGTTTAGGCTACTCCTCAAACATACTAGAACCTATTCAGCTTCTACATACAAAAGATATTGCAGTGCGGGTGGGACAAGGAACTGGACATTTGGAAGAATTCATTCAAATATTTAATAGAAAATTAAATTAATGCAGACTGGTTGTACTTGGATGTGAATTTTAAGTTGCCACTATCTTCATGTAATGCCAATGGAGAAGAATGTAAAACTGATACTCCTAATTTCTCCCAGACCTTTTGAACACATTTGATTCCACTAAAACTGTCTCCTTCCTTTTATTTATTATCTCTTCTTGATACTTATCTTAATTATTATTATTTTTTTCTGAAACTGTCATGGAACTTGACTCTGCAGACCAGATCCACCCTCAGCTGCCCCCAGAGTGATGGGATTAAAGGCATGGAGTACTACCACCCAATTGATTTATTTTATACAACTACCCTTTCCTGTAGCTTTTGAAAGTCTTTAAATTTTAGAATGCCCATGAACTTGGCCTATAGAATAAATGAGACTGGTAGCTTTCAGCTGTCATTATGGTAATGGTGTACAGTTGTATGTGTTTAGCATAAAATTGAGCAGAGATGATGGCATAAATTCCATGGCTTTCATAGGAATTTTTATTATGCTTTTAATCTCTATAAAAACAGTTCAAACATTACTACATAGGATAATATGTTTTAGGGTATGGTTACATTTTGGATTCAAGGTCAAAAACATGGTTTTGATGCTACCTTCCAAAGTAATGAGTGAAAATCAGTGAAGGTTCTTGTGGGTTCAAGTTTTTAGTCCCATGATTGATTAAGGCTTTAAGAGCCTTGTTCTTGCTAGTTATAGTAAGGATAAGTAGCCAGGTCACAGCAGTAACAAAGTTAACTGTTCACAGTGTGTCCTTTTTCTGTAAATATGTGAAAAACCATTTTCTTGGTGATATCAAGTCCTACCTAATGTCTTGCATCCAGGAACACTAGAGAGTTTCAGGGTACTAGTGCTTTCTCATATTTGGGGTGTTTAAAACAGCCATAGTGCCCAGTAAGAGTTGTGGAAGAATGAAATGGTAACTTCTGCTAACTGAATAAATAGCAGTAGGCAATGCCAATAAGTAGTCAGCAATGGCTATCATGATTATAGAAGTGAATTGAGCTATCAAAATAATTTTAAAATTAGAATTTTAATCATATCTTTAGGTGTAGGCAATGCAAAGCTATATATAAAACAGGAAAAGGCTGATGTACTTTCTGTGATGACTGCCATGCACAGTGACTCCACAGATGATAGAAACAGCTCCTTCCACATACTCAGAAAATGCCATATAAGGGAATCATTGAGTGATTCACATGCAGTCTGATTGACTGGACAATCTAGTATTTACCGTATGTATTTTAATAGTTTATATCATAACATGTTCTTATATCTGAAGGACTTATTATTTCCACTGAATAAATGACCACTTTACAGCATGCCAAGTTATGTGTGTATAGCTAGGTGTGAAGAGAAGACATCTTAAGCACTGACTAGTAGTTACTAGTAGTTACTCTCCTGTTAAAATAAGTGCATAATTAAATCATTAAGTTTATACCATAATAAGCATTTATTAAAATATAATACCAAAAACACTTTTCTTATTAAACAGACTTGGGGCTTCAGTGAAATGTTTCTTTAATGGAAAATATGACTTTTCTGCTTCATCATCCAAGAAGAGCCAAGTATATAAGTTTCATTGTATTGCAGACTAACAGAGAAAGAATTTTCAAGGCATTCATCCTCATTTTGAAACCTTTGTTCACATTCTCAGATGGATACAAGCAGTTAATAATTTTGCTTGGGGCAGAGTATATATGTAATAAGGTCAGTAATCATTAGAATTCAAAAACATTTTTCTTTCAAGTTCTGCTTATTTTTCAGTATTGAAATTCACGTTATTTTAAAACATAGGAAGTATGCAGAAAATGCTGTGGTAAATATTGGCATGGCAAAAAGGTTTATGGCAGTGTCCCGAAGTCACGTGCTTTATAAACAAGGAGTGAGTTGTCAAGCCAGATTCTTTCCCACTGTTTTTTTTGTCTCCCAGTTGCTAAACTTATGTTCCTTCTTGACCTAGGTTTCTTTTTTCCATAAGTGTGTGAGTTGGTCTCCGCTGCTCACTAACTCTGGAGAAATGTGTTTATAGCTGTTGATCTAAAACAGGAATGGCACAGACTCGTCTCAACACCAGAAAATGGTGAAATATCATAACAAGGAAATCGAACAGAATTACACACTGGTATCTCAAATACCTTAAAAAACGACAGGCATTTTATACAATAATCATTCCCCAGTTACATACAACTTTCCCATGTAGTGCCAATTCCTAGGGCTTGGTGCAGATAGCCCCTGGAGCATCTGTGCTGTTGCTCCCGCGAAAAACCCGAATTTCCCTACATATTTGAGTAAAACCAAGTTAATGTACATAATTTTGAACCGATAAGAATGTGCAGAATCATGTCCAGAAATAAAAGTTTGCGAATGATGGCGAGAGAAATAGTATATTTAAGGAAAACCTTAAAGTTGTCTCAATTTACGTGAAGTTTGAAAGAGAGTTAGGTCATTCAGGGAAGTTTCAGGCTGTCGATTTTGAAAGTAGCTGTACAAATTAAGGCAAGAATGAAGCATACAGGCTCTCTGATCAGTTTCCCCCAAGTCCCTAATTATTTCGTGCCCATATTTCTTATATTTTTAACCTTTTTTAAGGGGCAACAAACACAGCCACCAGGCAGAGCTGAAGATCCCTTCTCTGGCTGCGCGGCGCACGGAGCAGCGAACCAATCACCACGCAGCTTCTGGCTATATAAACCCAGAGCCTTCAGTACTGAGAGCAACTCTCGCTGACAGTTTGTGCTTACTTTTGGCTCTCCCAGCAAGCATAAACCATGTCTGAGACGGCTCCGGCGGCTCCTGCTGCTCCCGCACCTGTGGAGAAGACACCTGTGAAGAAGAAGGCGAAAAAGACTGGCGCTGCTGCGGGGAAGCGCAAGGCGTCCGGGCCCCCGGTGTCCGAGCTCATCACCAAGGCTGTGGCCGCCTCCAAGGAGCGCAGCGGCGTGTCCCTGGCCGCGCTCAAGAAGGCGCTGGCGGCCGCCGGCTACGATGTGGAGAAGAACAACAGCCGCATCAAGCTGGGGCTCAAGAGCCTGGTGAGCAAGGGCACCCTGGTGCAGACCAAGGGCACCGGCGCCTCCGGCTCCTTCAAGCTCAACAAGAAGGCGGCTTCCGGCGAGGCCAAGCCTAAAGCCAAGAAGGCAGGCGCGGCCAAAGCTAAGAAGCCCGCTGGAGCAAAGAAGCCCAAGAAGGCGACTGGTGCTGCCACACCCAAGAAAGCGGCCAAGAAGACCCCGAAGAAGGCGAAGAAGCCCGCGGCTGCCGCAGGCGCCAAAAAAGTTGCCAAGAGCCCGAAAAAAGTGAAGGCAGCTAAGCCCAAGAAGGCAGCTAAGAGTCCAGCGAAGGCCAAAGCTCCGAAGCCTAAGGCCGCTAAGCCCAAAGCGACCAAGCCTAAGGCCGCCAAGGCAAAGAAGGCCGCTCCCCGCAAGAAGTAGACATGGCGCGTCTTGCTTTGAAAAATCTCAAACGGCTCTTTTCAGAGCCACCCACAGATCTCATTCAAAAGAGCTGCATTTCTGTCCATGTTTTAAATTGCCTCTTGTGGCCTTGGTCAGCCGACTCTGGCTTTGTAGGCGGAAGCACAGTTGTGGGATTCCCTTTGGGTGTGTTTCGGAAGTTTTTGAATGCCCAGAGCAAGGCTTGGTTGTGACTATTCTAGCTTCATTTTGTTGGCTGCGGTCGGTTTTTTAAAAAACCCTTTGGAAGGGCACTGGCCTGGGCGGGTTATCTAGGCATTTTTATGATCACTATCTTCTTGGCGGGAAGTCCTCATTTCTGGCGCGCAGGCGTGGTAATGCACTGTGTTTAGCAAACCAATCCGACAGTGGGGATTACAGACTGGGGCTGACTCTTGAAATGTTCTTTTCCAATGGGTCCGTAGACCGTGGTTTTGAGAATTACCCAATCAGGCTATCCTATCAGTCATGAGTGGAAACGTTGAGCCAATCAGAGATTGGGATACTAATGTTTGCGTTTGTGTACTGGGACGCAGGCATTCCCTGTTCTCTCCCCCCCTCCGCTCTTCTGCACCTCCATTTCCCCTCCCCCACCTCTGAAATTACCAGTTCTAAGTGGATGAGAGGCTGAGATACTGGATTTTTTGTTTGTTTGCTGCGAAAGACTTGAATAACTTCAACATCCTCGGAGTTTGTAGGGATTGATGCCATCGTCACTAGACTTTTAAATCGTAATGCTAAGGTTTTTTTTTTTTAGTAAAATTTTAGCACTTTTGGCAGTTCATACACCACATTGCTTCTTCGTAATTTTTCCTAGCTTATTTGTTCTCCCCCCCCTTTTTTTTTTCGAGACAGGGTTTCTCTGTGGCTTTGGAGGCTGTCCTGGAACTCGCTTGGTAGTCCAGGCTGGTCTCGAGATCCGCCTGCTTCTGCCTCCCGAGTGCTGGGATTAAAGGCGTGCGCCACCAACGCCTGACCTTTCTCCCTTTTTTAGCGAGTAAAACAGTAAACAATTTGAAGGTAAAACCATTTTGGACGGCTGCCTGGTTTGCAGCTGGACTTGTGAAAGTTAAATAAAAAAAGAAAATGAAGTTGAACAGAATCTGTGGGTGTCATTTGTCATTTTCATTTCACTGTAGGTATTACCGGTTTTTATTCGTTTATTTTATTAAGAGTGGGAGCATACTTTATTTTTCATCCTGGTAATATAAGGAGTTTCATCCTGATAATAGAAGTCTGCAGATGCTTAATGGAGCTCCTATTAGTAAGAAGTTACATACATCTTTAAAAATATTTTTCCCATATATATATATATATTTGTGTGTAGGTCAGAGGACAACTTGGAGTAGTTAGTTCTTTTCCCCCATGTGTGTTCCAGGTTTGAGGCAAGCACCTGCAGTGACTGAGATATCATGTGTGTGTTGGGGCCTTGTCCCCACAGGGTCTCTGAGCTATTTGTCAGCTGATAGCCACAGGTGCATCCTGTTTTCTAGTCCTGGCTTACTTCCCCCACATTGCCCCACTGACATCAACATCTAGCGGGAGGAAAACATGTTCTCTGCCACCTGGGGTTTTTCTACTGTGTTGTATGATTATATATAAGACTGCTCTCTTCTACAAGAGAAAGACCTCTTAGCACTTGCAAAATAAAGACACTTCTTAGTACAAACAGCTGGACATCTGGTCTTTTCCTGATACCTCGGAGTTGCTTGTGGCATGGTTGCCACATGTGTGTATTCTTATAATTCTACATTTTTCAATCTATCATTTCTTTAGGAGGATAGTGGACCACTTAGAGATGCTTCAGTAGGTAAAGAATTTCATAGCCAAGACTGAAGACCTTAGTTCTATCCTAGGTACCCATGTGATGGAAAAGAACAGACCACACACACACACACACACACACACACACACACACTCACACACACACACACACACACCAGATAAGGAAGGACTGTAGTGATGGCACTGATTTTGAGTTTCATGTAATTAAAAAATAATTTAAAGGACAGGAAGCTTCCTATTACATTTTGAAGTGCCTGTGATGTGCTGTGTGTAATCAGATACTTGCAGAATACTCTGCAGTTATTGTGTCTCCAAGTGAAGTTAATATTCTGATTGTTCCTTCTATCTGCTGCAAGAGGTGAAGTTCATATTCCGAGTGTTACTGAAGAATGATGAATAAATACATGGGTAAAATATGATCATATTATAGTAACTAATTCTATTATCTTGCATACTTTAAGTACTTAAAATCATTGTTTTAAGATTATGTGTTTAGTTTTCCGCAGCCATTTCTATTGACTGCACAGCAAAAAGGAAGTGTGGACTGTTGAGCCGGTCTCCAAGGCAGAAGACCCAGTGAAAATGCCTGTTGCCATGTTCATACCTTTTAAACATAGCACTAAGGAAGCAGAGTCAGGCCCATCATTCTTTTCTCTTGCTGCCTTCTGTGCAGCTTCATTTGACTGAATTTCTAAAATCCTATGAACTGAATTAGAATACTGTCTGCTATCAGTTGGATTTGGAGATTTACAATACATATAGCAATATATGTTAAAATACATATGAACACAATGGGAATTTTTTCTGACCCTCCTCTTTATGGCCTAGTTTATTACTCTCTCTCTCTCTTTCCTTCTTATGTATGCAACCCCAAATTTTGGAGAATATCAAAAATAGGAAAATTTCCTATGTGAAATGTCAATATTTAAAATGTGTGGCTGGATGATAGAATGTAGAAAAGCCATTAAATGGTATTTCTGAATTTGCTTGCATTTTGGCTCTTCTTTCTATAAGCTAAAATTGCTGGCTATTTATGGATTATTTTTTAATCCATCATTGAGAGTCATGGTCTTATAAAATACTCGGGAGCAAAAGTATGTGAACAAATGAACTAGCTTGTAGTTTTACATAACATAGGAGCCTTTGGACTCCAACTCATGTCTAATTTAAACATTTTATTCTTAAGTAATAAAACACTGATAGGGACACAATACCATGGGAACTGCATAGTGTCTATTATAAGACCACATTTAAACTTTACTCAGTGAGAAGGAATGTACATGCATGTTGTTCCCAGAGGGAGACCCCCAAATCCTCCAAGGAGCCAGGGACCACTCACTGCAAGAACAAGAGGTTTTTATTAGGAACCAAATAGGCTGGGACCTCACTCTATCAGAAGAGTGGGAAACCGTCTTGCAATTACAAGGTGTTTTTAAAGGGAAAAAGGGGAGTGGGGTTGTGAGACCACAAAACTCAGTTCCCAAGGTTTCCATGGTTACAGAGATTTTACAATGTACATACGTTAATACAAGGTTATCATGAAACAGAGGGTACTGGACAAAGAAGGCAGTAACTGTCATCCGTTCAGGTAAGATTGATTATCATATCTTGTGGGTCAGGGTTTATGATCATTAGGTCAAGAGGCTATCCAGTTCCCAGTTCTCTTAAGACAATGGGGCAAGGGAAAATGTTTGGGCTTCCTTTTGATTCTGGGAGCCGCCTATGTTCCTTGACCATGTACTCTGTGGTTAGGGGATCGGTAGCTAGCTGGAGTTCCTCCTTCTTGTCACAGCCTTAATTTTTATATCTCTTAGTTATTAATTTCTCATCACGATGCATACACTGCTAGTGATTTGTTTGTTTAATTACATAAGTGTCATTCAATTGACTGACTCAGAGGAATGTCTCAGGCCTTTGGTGCTTTTGAATATCTGCTCCCATTACAGCGGGGATATGATTAGGAGAAAAGCAACAACATGTATCATTGTGTAGAAATATTATTAGAGGGAATACATATAATTGACTTCTCATACAGTATGTGAAGAAACCTAACCAGGCTTGTTCCTCCTTCTTTGCCTCCATGTGATATCCTTCTTGCTGGGGATTGGAGAACTTGATAACTGATGATGTACTGTGATCTAGTTTTGGACAAATGAGGTTTGTGAATATTTAAAATTAGCATTATTAGTATTGCTAGCTGAAAGATTAAAAAGTTGGTGAAGACGACTGTAGTAATTATTTGTTACTTTGAGAAAAATAGCTCTGAGTTTTCTACACTGGGGAAGAGATTCTGGTTTCTAAATCTTGTCTTGGGAGGAGGAAGAAAGGAGAATTGACGGCAATAACTTCTATTTCTGAAGCTGCTTCTGATACTTAACTCATTATATTATTTTGCAGTTTGTAAAAATTTCGTTCTATTTTATTTTATTTAGAGACAGGGTCTCACTATGTATCCCAGGCTGACCTGTTTGTAGCTCCTGATATAGACCAGGCTGGCTTTGAACTCATACAGATCCACCTGCTTCTGCTCACCAGTCCTGGGATTAAAGGTGTCTTCCACCATGTCAAAACCCAGTTTTGAGCTTTTGAGACAGGTCTTTATCACCTATCCCATAATAACCTCAAAGTCACTATACAGCCAAGGATAACTGAATTTCTGATTCTTCCTCCATTGCTCAGGTTTTGGGATTATAGTTATCTGCCACTTTGCACATCTTCTGAGACTTTAATTTTGGGGTATTAAAAAAATTATGCTTGTGAGCCTGAAATGACTTTCTGGATGTTTCATAGCTGGTCATCTCTTTGGTGACGTATGAACTACCTATGTGTATGTTATTAGTATATATAAGTTTCAATGTGAGAGAAAATAATTAAAATAATTGGAAGTACTAACCAATTTACATTTTTCTAAAATTGGAATTTAAACCTACAGAGTGAAAACCTGGAGCAAATTTTTAAAGATACATTTGTATATTATTACATGTTGGAAATACAGTAATCCAATGTTATCAACCAAAAAATATTGAAGTGCTAGAGATATTTTAAAATTTTTTGTTACTAGTTATTTTGAGTTAAAAAAAGGTAAAAATAAATTACAAGACCCACATTAGTGATCTTAACTGAAATACATTATGATTCTTCCTAAAGACATTTGAGTATCAACCACTATTCTCGTTGGTTGCCTTGACAGGCATTACCTTTAGAAGCAATTGAAGCTGGGCAACATCCCTGATCAGAGTCCACCTTCCACTTACCATCTGAAAAGGTGGGGGTATCAGGGTTTCATTAAATCTCATTGGGAGAAATCTACCTCCTTTTCCAGATGAATGAAATTGGTGTTATAATCCCACCTTGGGTAAAAACAAGGTATTCTGATTTGGGTTAAAGATTAGACAATGCCTATTCATCATTTGGCTAAAAGACTGCTCCCCCCCCCCCAAAAAAAAGCTGGTATCTTGAAGATGTGTTAAAACCTGGGAAAAATAATCTTTCCCTTAATGGGATAATGTACTTACATGTTCCAGGACACCCGTTTAAGATGATGTTTCTGGACAAGTTTTCTAAACTCTAAAAAAGAATACATTTTTATCTTGTTTTTTTCTCTTTTTTCCTTTTAGGGCAGTCTTTTGTTTGTTTCCTAGAGACAGGATTGTCTCTGGGAATGTCTGTCCTGGAACTTGATCTGTAAACCATTCTGGCATCAAACTCAGAGATGCTCCTACCTCTGCCCCTGGAGTGCTGGTTTCAAAAGCCTGCACCACCACCACCACCACCAAGAAAGTCTAGGTCCTGGCCTGGCCTGAACTTGCTATGTACACCAGGCCAGACCTGCCTCTCTGCTGGCCAAGGCTTGCACCACCTTGTGTATGTATGTATGTATTTATTTACTTATTTATTTATTTATTTTCCTTCTGTCATTATTAGATACAGAGCAGAATCCGAAGCCTGTTTGCCTTCGATACTCTGGGCTTCTGCTTTCTCTGAAGAATCCCTTCCACTCCCCTTTACGGCTGCTTGCCAACTCCAGTGGCTAAACCTCCCTGCTTTCTGGGACCCTAATTCAAAGGGCATTGCCATTTTCTTCCTTCTACCCATTTCCTTCAACTTTTTTTTTTTTTTTTTTTTTTTTTACTATTTTTCCCCCTCACAACTCTAAAAAAGTGGTTCTTGAGCTTCCGAGTCTGTCTAGACTGTAATCCGGATATTGGTACTTAGCTCTAACTGTCCTGGGACTATAAAGTAGGTTGAACTTCTACAGAAATCTGCCAGTCACACAGGTGTTGGGCTTAATGACATGAGCCACCACACCCAGCTAAAAACTTTACTTATTGTTAAGAAACAATTTAAAATTTATGCTAAAACTCCAAAATTAATGAGATTAAACCAGGCTAAACAGTAGTACTGACCTCGTGCAAGAGGAAGCAGGAAGGTCAATTTAACGCTATTCTATGCTAAAGCTGAAGCCAATCACAGAATGCTTTTTATAAGTACCAACACTCATCTATATTATAATTTGAAAATGAGTTGTAACTCGCGCTTTTACCTGAAATTAAGGAAAGGAATTAATTCTATATTGTGACCAGCAGCAAAGAATTCTCTCTGTTCCGGAGCCTCAGATCTCCGCAAAAGGGAACGGAGAACCTTTGTGTCACCACAGTTCATCTCCAGAAGCGGCGCGCCGCCATCTTTTCCGAGATTTTAGATGCTTTCTCGCTATGCCCCAACACACATTGGAAATATAAAACGATTGTGCTGACGTATCTTAACAAAAATTTAAATTACGTTTTTAAGGCATAAAAAGTACACTTGTCAATATCCATGGCGACACTAGCACGCGTAAAACAAGGAAAGTTACAGGTTCCTGCGAGTGGAAATCAGAGCATCCCTATAAAGTTTTTGCTGCCAAATAAACGGTGCACGCAATTACGAAAACTTATGTAAGAAATAACAAGTGAGACTTGTAAGCAGGACAATGAAGGAGGTACGGGAAGTGGATAAACTATAATTCTGGGGCATTTTGTTCTTGAAGCATGTTTTGTGTTAACTTACCAAACAGCAGACTAAACTAATAACCTTCCCAGTTAAGAGCTTCCGGGACTAAGAGCGTTTAAAAAAAAAAAGGTTATTTTAAGGGGGCGGGCTTACCATTGGTATTGAGCAATCAAAAATTACGCTAGAAGAATCAGCCAATCGTCAATCCCTAGAAGCACTTCCGCAAATTCGGTCAGAAGCCTGAGAGGTGCTGGCCAAGATCCAATCAGAGCGTCCCGTTTACTCTATAAATATCAGCACCGCCAGCGTCCTCTCGCATTTTCTACGTTATGGCTCGTACTAAGCAGACCGCTCGCAAGTCTACCGGCGGCAAGGCCCCGCGCAAGCAGCTTGCCACCAAGGCTGCCCGCAAGAGCGCCCCGGCCACCGGTGGCGTGAAGAAGCCCCACCGCTACCGGCCCGGCACCGTGGCGCTGCGTGAGATCCGGCGCTACCAGAAGTCCACCGAGCTGCTGATCCGCAAGCTGCCGTTCCAGCGCCTGGTGCGCGAGATCGCGCAGGACTTCAAGACCGACCTGCGCTTCCAGAGCTCGGCCGTCATGGCGCTGCAGGAGGCCAGCGAAGCCTACCTGGTGGGTCTGTTTGAGGACACCAACCTGTGCGCCATCCACGCCAAGCGAGTCACCATCATGCCCAAGGACATCCAGCTGGCCCGCCGCATTCGTGGGGAAAGGGCTTGAATACATTGGCACATGACTAAAAAGGCTCTTTTAAGAGCCAACTCCAGTATCCCCGGAAGATGCTGTATTGCGTGTGAAACTTGGGCAGTCTTCAGTACGTGTCTCAAGGTGCTACTTACATAGCGCCAAGGCTCAGAGAGCACTTGTTAATTAGCGGCATTTCCATTTCTAATAAAAGTTGGGATGTTTCTAAGTCAGGAAAAGAATACCAGCTGAGACACACAGCCTTGTGGGACTGAGCAACTACTACATTTTTGGACTTTCTGTTCACAGCTAGTCTGGCCATTGTTGGATTAGTGGAACAGTAGCCTGTAAATCATTACAATAAATTATACACATATACATATATTTCCCCATTACATAAGTTTTGTGACATTAGAGAACCCTGACTAATACACTGTCTTTCAGAATTTTGATTAATTCAATTAATTTGAAAACATGACTGTGTTGAGACAAAAGATGGGCACCAGACTTTTTGAGATGCTTTTAAATGGTTTTCTGCCATAACCTTGTATAGAAGATACATAAATGGAGTGAAAAAGAAATCCATTGTGACATAATTTTCCTAGTTTTTTACCTGAGTTCACTGAGTTCACTGTGGTAATGATTCTCAACAGAAAGACACATGTGTGTTAGTACAGTGTGTGTGTGTGTGTGTGTGTGTGTGTGTGTGGAGAGAGAGAGAGAGAGAGAGAGAGAGAGAGAGAGAGAGAGAGAGACTTGGGAGCTCTCATATATTAAGACATAGCACCTAATTTAACGCTTACCAGTTTTGACAGACCAGTCAAATAAAAGGAATTTGGTTAAGGCAAGTAACTAAGGTTGGAACAGAAGTTGGGAAGATTCAGTTCAGGTTAGGTCACAATGCCTTTTATTTGCACTCTGTATATTCTGTGGTAGACGTTCTTTCCCTTGATTAAGGCTGTTGTGGGCTCCAGGTGGTTGTTGTTGCCTTTGTGGAAGCAGGAAGTGACAGGGCAAGTCAAGGTGACCTTCTTACAGCTTTTAATTTTTTTTTCTTTGTCTGTTTGTTTGTGGGTGCTTTCCCAGCACGTATATATGTTACACCACATGTGTGTAGTGGCCTTGGAGGTCAGAAGAGGGCATCAGAGAACTGGGACTAGAGTTTCAGGTGTTGTCAGCTGTCCATCAGTTATGGGATCCGAACCCAGTCCTTGACAAGGCATTACATGATCCTGACTGCTGTGCCATCTCTGCAGCCCCAACAGCTTTTTTACGAGACAGGGTTTCTCTGTAATTTGGAGGCTGTTGGTCCAGCCCGGCCTCGAACTTACAGAGATCCGCCTGCCTCTGCCTCCTGAGTGCTTGGATTAAAGGCGTGCGCCACCACCGCCCGGCAGCTTTTGTGTTTTAAATGTCCAAAATGTAGCTCTAAAAAAATATGTCCAATTCTCATATTTGGGACTTGGATGGTCTGTCACTCTGTGAAGCCAGATTTAAGGATAAACTTATGTTTCAATTTAATTTTATTTTACATTCCTAGAAATAAAATTAGAAAGACTTTGGCTGAGTCCCCAAGGATTATGTCTGGCCTGTTACCTCCCTAGATTTGATTCTATACAACTAAACAAATCAAACCCCCCCCCAAAAAAAAATCAGTTAGATGTGAGGGACCTGTGATTTCAGTAGTCAGTAGACTGTGGCATGAGGATCTGGCAGGATTTATTCCAACAGGCAGGAACTTACATAGGACAGATGTAGGGATGGGAATCTTAGGTAGGGTAAGGTGACGTGAGGAGTTAAGGGCCAATAGTATTCCACCAAGCAGGCAGGTAGCTAGGCAGGGGGCAATCTTGCATCAGATCTGGCTGAGTCACCCCCATGTGGAGGTTACAGGTTAGAGACAGGTTGCCAAACTCTAGCCAGGCTCAGGAGGTTACACTGGGCCTCACATCCGAGACTTTACCTCAAGTCAGGCTCAGGAGCTTACACTGGGCCTCTCATCCTAGCCTTTCTTAGGCCCAACATAGCCTTAGCTGGCATTGAAGGCACAGTGTCGCGTCTGCTGCGCGGCCTGTGTCCGAGACGTGTGGAGGGTGTCGGGGATTGACAACACAGAGACTCGTTCAACGATGTAAAGAAAACTTTAAGCAGGCCCCAAAAAGGTTCAAGAAAACTTCCTAAGAAAGGCTCCCACCAGAGAAGCTTCTGCTCTCTCCTCTCCCCTGGCTGGTTCTGCTCTGACCCCAGAAACTGATCTGGGCGTGGCAGAAGAGGTGGTTAGTCTTTGGACAAGGTGGAGGTCAGGGTGGTTTCTGTGGGCAGGCCTTTTCCAGGAACTTAATGCCCCCAGGCATTGTATTGTTTTTAGTAAACATGTTTTTAGTAAACATTGTCTTACAGCTGCCTACTCCCAGGCAGAAGGGGAAGTGGGTCTCTGCTCAAGGTCTGGTGTTCCCACATCCCTGCTCATTTAAAAAAAACTTTAATTCTATATATGTGTGTTTTGTTTGCAAGTATGTTTACCAGTTATATGCAGTGCTGGGTAGAGGCCAAAATCAGGTGTCAAATTCCCTGGAATGGGATTATAGAAGGCTGTTAGTCCCCTTGTCACTTTAGGACTTTAACCTTGATTCTCAGAAAGGACAATCAGTGCTCTTAATCCTTGAGCCATCTCTCCAGCCCCTGCTACTTTTCCTATTTCTGTCATCCTGCTTTTTGTCTTACAGATTTCTGGTCAGCCCAGCACTGGAACCATTGTACCCAGTAAGCTAATATGTATCTTGAACATTTGATTTGCTTAAAGTTTGTGGGTAAGTGTATGAATTTATATGTTGGTGTATGTTTGAAATATACACCTGAAATTCACAGATCCCTGGCTTCTCTTTGAAAAATCCTTTGAACATGTTCAACCAAAGTGACATGGTTATAGTGAGAAAAAAGAATTCAAACTTGTTGGGCTCTACAGCCTGGCTGCTTAGTAAGTACTCTTAAGAATACACAGTATGTTAATTTTGTTGGAAAACCAAGGGTAGATCCTAACCATATATTTTTTTAATCAAGTCATGAAGAGACGTAGCAGCAAGGACTTCATTAACGTTTGAATTCTTCAAATATGGAATGACAGGAAGATGGACATTATCTGAAATTTTGTAGTCACATACCTTTAACAAGTATATTTCAGGAAGAAATTCAAAGCTGAATGTACATCTCATTGTGAAATCTAGGAGGTTGTTTGTTTATTTCCTTCTTCAGTCTTGTGTGGTGGGATTGCAGCCTAAGCTATTATTATTTGTTTTTAGATTTATTTTTAGTTTTTAAAGTGTGTGTGTGTATGTGTGTGTCATGCATGGTGCCTGTAAAGTCCAGTAACTGGAGTTACTGGTAGTTGTGAACTGGCTGATGTGGATGCTAGGATTCAAACTGATCATCTGCAAGAACAGTATGTACTCTTAACCACTGAACCATCTTTTCTGCCATCTGAAACCATCTTAAAGGATCCTAAAATTGATACTTTAAGCAATTGGTGTCACTGAGTTTTTAAGAATCTCTATATATGCAAACACTCCATGTTTCATTGATTAAAGACTGAAGAAATATGTGTGTAAGATCCCAGTTATTGATGAATAGAACAAAAGCCACAGAACCATTTATTTTTGAGAAGTTTGGCAAAGATCAAGAAACAGGGAGATAAGAAAGTTAGGGTCAATTAATTTGGAGTCTGGGAAGAATGAACAGCGAAGTTATTTATGATTAGATAATTTGCTAAAGTATATACCCGGGAATTACACTAGATTTATAAAATTCTTAGAGAGGCAGACACTGAGACTTGTCTTTCAGGGAGCATTTTACTGTGACTGCACACAGACTCAGTGGCTTTGAAAGGTTAAGTCCATGTACAGTAATACTAAAAATGGAAGGAATGTGTAGGATGGGAGAGGGGGCTACCTGGAAGATTGTGAAGTTGTGGGTACACGTGTGGACACTGACCAGATTATGATGTTTCGACTTTGTCCACGCTATTACAATTACATGGGGATTCAGACATTTTATGTTACTATTTTTTTCCCTAGTAAAGATGTACAGTTAGGACAAAATAATTCAAAACAGTGATATATGGAAGGCTCTGTTCTACAGTATGGAAATGTTAAGGCCACAATGGGATTGTAGAGAAATACATTGTTTTATTTTTGTCTTTTCTATTGATGCAATCTTACTTTTTAACTATAGCATTTTTATTGTGTAGCAGTGCAAGTTATTTGTGACTAGTGGCACAGACAGCACTACAAAGATCAGAGCTGGCAAGTTGGTTTATCAGGTGGGAGCACTTGGTGTCCAAACCCAAGGATTTTAGTTTAAATCCATGGAAGCTACATGGTGGAAGAAAGAGACTAGACTTGTGGAGATTGTCTTCTGATTATCACATCATGGTCAGCATTTGTGGGTGGGTATAACATTAAATACGTAAACAAAAATGTAACAAAAACTAAGAACTTCAAAGCTTATTGGCTTATGGACAGTAATTTTGTTCATTCCAGGGTAGCAACATTTTATCCTTGTTTAAAAATTTCTATACAACATTCAGTTTCTGAAATGGTTTAAGGCCTTCATAGCTTTTACTCCTTTCATTGGTGTAATCTATGTAGAAGAAACTCAAAGTGATGGAAATGATGCTTAGAGGATTTATTAATAGGAGAGAGACATGAAGTCACAAAAAATAGAATTTAACTGAGGGAGCACTGCCTTCAGAATACTGCAGATAAGTAATATGCTAACCAGGTCTATTAGAGATAAGCAAGGTAGGATACTACGATGCTAATATTTGTTCACCAAGATTTACTCCCAATTAATTTCCATTCCCATAAGGGAAACATTTACAACCCACTATTATGCTCATCCTGCAGCTCCAGGGGGCAGTGTAGAATCACAATAACCATTATGTCCTGGTCTGCCTCTTAGCTCTTATCAGGAAAAGCATAATTCTGCCAGGTGGGCAAAAAGAAGCTGGATAATAACAATTCAAAAAGAACAACACCTGTGTACTTCAGAAATAATTCAGTGGCTTGCAGTCTCCTGTTTGTCTGTTTAAATTGTTCAATGTGCAATCTGAGGCTGGGTCCTAAAAGAAATCTAGGGATGAAAATATGTGGAACGCATAATTTTAAACTGTACATGTTAGGAAAATCTACTTATGGCCATCATCATTAGCCAGAGGTGGACATGTGCCATATGTATTAAGGAGATTTTCCCCCTTTAATAATCTCTTAAGTGTGAGGTATGATTTGTCAATGGAAAAGATTATTAATATTAGAATTAATTTGAGAACAAATTAAATAAATATACCCCTTGATTTCTACTTTAAAGATAATTATCAGATTACCTGTGAATTTACTGTACAGGCCTAGAAATGATGAAGAAATGTATGACTAAGGTAAAAACAGGAATAAAAGTCAGAAAGTAGTGCTTCGGTGGTGGCACACACCTTTAATCCCAGCACTTGGGAGACAGAGGCAGGCGGATCTCTGAGTCTGAGGATAGTCTGGTCTGTAAAACGAATTTAAAACAAACAAACAAACAAAAAAAGTAAAAACCAAAATCAAAAACAAAAAAAACTATAAAGTAATTTTATACAATGGCTATGGGTGAAGTTAAGACATATTTTCATTCTGAGAATGATTCACAAGTCATCTTAATACTGTTCTGATATTTTCTGTGTAGTTTGACAGTTTTTAGTCAACTATGTGGACAGACTGCATTCAACAAGAGATGAATGTGAGGATCAGATAGGTAAGGGCGAAGTTCCTATCTTATTCTATCTCAGTTTTACCCATTTAAAATAATGAGTGAAAGAAATATGCTACGGACTTGATTGAAGGCAAAGAGAGGGCTATAAAACCTCTGGTCTTTTCATGTTGCTTAGTTCTGGAAATTGAACACCAGTTTGCTCCCCCAATGTTACACCATCATTGTTTGCATGAGGGAAGGTGGAAAATGCAGACAGGAAAGCTGATTCTTCATCTGATGTGGACTTTTTGAGGACATCAAAAAAGGAACTCTGGCTACCATGGAGCAACCATAAGTACTGTTGAGAAACATTTGGATCTTCCTGGTGGTGGTGGTGGTGTATACCTTTAATCCCAGCACTCGAGAGGCAGAGGCAGGTGGATCTCTGTGAGTTTGAGGCTAGCCTGGTTTACAGAGCGAGTTTCCAAAACAGCCTCCAAAATAATACAGAGAAACCCTGTCTCAAAAAACTAAAAAAAAAAAAAAATGATTACAGACTGTGTTTCCATTCATTGTCACATGAAAGCTTAGTCTAAAAGGTTTGTTAATGATTTTCCAGAATTTTCTAGGGCCTCATGGTTTTATTTATTTTTTAAGACTCCCACATCTATGCATTTAGACTTTTGCTTGAAAGATCCTGACAATGGGGATGGATTTTTTTACATTAAAAAGCACAAATATGTTTGTCTCATAGGAAAAAATAAGTCAAAGATTTCAGTATAGCTAGGGCACAAGACAGGAATAATTTTGATAAATATTTCTCTGACCGTATTTCTATATATTCCTATATTCCCCTGCCAATCACACATATATTGTGATAATCTATATTCTTTTGAGCTATGTAGAGCTTTCTAGTGATTTTCCCAGGAATTACATACTTCGAACTTATGGTTTTATATACTTTGAACTGGTTTGTTTGGATTTCACACCTGGATAATTGTCATAAAGCAAAGACACAGGTTTGTTTGTTTTGTTTTCTTTGACAAAAAGTGTACCTTTACTGTGCAGTGACTGTGGTCGATCTGTCTGCTAGATTGTAATTCTATTATAAAATGATTTCCTTTGCTTTTCCTAGGCTGTGCAAGTGATTACAATTGTAAAGGCTTCAAGGTTTAAGAGCCATGAATCCTGCCATTGCTCACTTCTCCCTTTTCTAATCCACACATAGACACCATTCCAGTCACAGCTCTGGTCTTGTCAATACCTTTAACCCTCAATGGGGCATGGTGACTCATGCCTGTAGTTCGAGAACAAAGTAGGGTGAACTAGGATTGCTGTGAATTTGAAGCTCATCAGGCTACAAGGTAAGTTCCAGGGCATCCAGGGTTGTAGTGATACTGTCAATGACTCACTGGATGGATGAATACATAAATAAAATTGGTTTGTACATTGGGGTTGTCTGTACAACCAGTTGAGAGCACTTGCTGCTCCTCCAGAGGACCTGAAATGGAAAGGGTACCCAAGTATACCTGATAGTGCACAGGAGCATGCAATCCTGATACCAAGGCATCTGAGGCCTTCTGCCAGCCTGTGAGTGCACCAAATAAATGTGGTACACACATTTCCACATAAATAAAAAAAAGATGAATCAAACAATGATTAAAGAAAAAGCAGCAGCTGGGTCCTACTTTACAATCAGAACAGTCTCAGTGTTTGATAGAACTATTCAAGACTGAATAATTAAGGAGTTCATTTTAGTTTTAATTACTATTGGTTTTTCTGAGCACTAAAAAACCTCCCGAACTCCTTATCGGCTGCACTTGTAGTGGTCGATGCCTTTCATGGCAGAAATAGGGAGGTAGAAGAGGTTGGAACTTTGTGTGGAAATTAACATGATCTACTCGGCCAGTTCCATGACAGCTAGAGCAACATAGGTTAATGCCGTCTTGAAAACAAAAAATTCCAACAAGCAAAAGCCCAATAGACTTTTGGGCAAGGCTTTCTTCCTTATCCTTTTATCATTTATACCTTATTTTAATGACCCTATTCTGTCGGACCAAGAGCACACCCACATCCCCAAATCCTATCTTGCTGAATTATTACTATCTCTGTGTATTTAGCTAGATAATTCTCAATACCCTGGGCATCACATCACCGCAGTCATTTCAGCACTCTTATAGAAACAAGTGGGTGGCTCTGAAAAGAGCCTTTGTGTATTTTATAGTGAAGACCAGTGTGAAAAGCAGTGGTCTTATTTTCCCTTGGCTTTGTGGTGGCTCTCGGTCTTCTTGGGCAGCAGCACGGCCTGGATGTTGGGCAGGACGCCACCCTGAGCGATCGTCACGCGGCCCAGCAGCTTGTTGAGCTCCTCGTCGTTGCGGATGGCCAGCTGCAGGTGGCGCGGGATGATGCGCGTCTTCTTGTTGTCGCGGGCCGCGTTGCCAGCCAGCTCCAGGATCTCGGCCGTCAGGTACTCCAGCACGGCAGCCAGGTACACCGGAGCGCCGGCGCCCACCCGCTCCGAGTAGTTGCCCTTGCGGAGAAGGCGGTGCACGCGGCCCACGGGGAACTGCAGGCCGGCCCGGGAAGAGCGGGTCTTGGCCTTGGCACGAGCCTTGCCGCCTTGCTTGCCACGTCCAGACATTATGGAAATAGAAACAAGAGTTGAAAGCTTGCTACAATCGTGTTCTGAGAAGGAATGAGAAGGTACTTATACTGGTTGATGGAAGTGGGAAGGGTGAAGTGTGATTGGTTAAAATAGCTGTCTCGCTGCAGCCAATAGCAGAGGACACATAATGCAACTCAATTTGCATAATGGTGTCACTAACTGGCTTTCAAATCATAGCTGAGGATCCCTGAATCACTTATTTGCATAGAAGGACTATAAAAGCCCAGGCACCACACCTCTGCTATACTGTAGTGTGTTTGTGTCTTTTGGTTTTCAACATCTCTCACTATGCCTGATCCCGCGAAGTCCGCTCCCGCCCCGAAGAAGGGCTCTAAGAAGGCCGTGACCAAGGCGCAAAAGAAGGACGGCAAGAAGCGCAAGCGCAGCCGCAAGGAGAGCTACTCCGTGTACGTGTACAAGGTGCTGAAGCAGGTACACCCCGACACCGGCATCTCCTCCAAGGCCATGGGCATCATGAACTCGTTCGTCAACGACATCTTCGAGCGCATCGCGGGCGAGGCCTCTCGCCTGGCGCATTACAACAAGCGCTCGACCATCACGTCCCGGGAGATCCAGACGGCCGTGCGCCTGCTGCTTCCCGGGGAGCTGGCCAAGCACGCCGTGTCCGAGGGCACCAAGGCCGTCACCAAGTACACCAGCTCCAAGTGAGCGTGAGATCTCAACTCTTTACCCAAAGGCTCTTTTCAGAGCCACCCAAAGGTTCACATATAAGAGCTGTACACTTCTAGTCGAGACAAGTGTTTACTTCATTTTATGTTTCTAAGGTTGTTCATTAGTGTTAATGTAGGCACTCGTGTTTCTCTGAAACTGCCAAATAGTTTGGCCTCTGAATTCGAAATTGGAATAATGCGCTGGGGAAGATTAGTTTTAGCTATCATGCTAAGCGAATGTTAACCCTGGTGTCAGATGGGGGTGAATCGGGAAGGTATCTCGGAGCGATCGTCCGTATTTCAGGGTTTTTGTTTTAAGCATTCCTGGGAAATTATCACAGGAGGAGTGAAAGCTTGGGTTTGCTACCACCTGGTTTACGCCTACATAAATCTATCTTTCTAGATTTCGTTCAAAACGCAAGCTTGTTCGGTGTGTGTTAACCGGCTCTTTGTGACTTTCAGGTCGCCATTTTATGAGGCGCCGTCTTGTATAGAGACGCTCAGCTCAGCTCGCTGAAAGCGAAAGTATGCCTGAAGCGCCTGCTCTGGCTTCTATCTTTAAGGATTCCTTCGAGTTTAAAGACCTGTCCTGGAGCTTTTGAATTTTAAGAGTTTTACATATAAATTGAGTTGGAGAAAGCAGCAAGATTTTCATTTAAAGAAATGAATTAATTAACGGGAAATGGTGAAAAGGGTTTGTAAAACTAAAAAAAAGTAGGCAGGCCTTTTCAGTCATTTAATTTACTTCTTCCTCTTCTTAAGCTGCTGGGATTTTTTTTTTTAATATACCGAGAAAATTCCCCAAACTCCTCTCCTGACTTATTTCGTAAATGGGACCTGAAAAAAAGCTACTAGCTTTCAGCCACATCACTTTACTTACAGTTAAAGCTTCGGAATGTCAGGTGTGGCTCTGTTTCTAGCCTCTGGAGAGTCTATCGTTTCAAAATTCAGCAGTTTGGGAGCTATGTGTTCCAACAGGGAGGGACTCTGATCCAATGTTAGAAGAAAATATAAATAGGTTATCAGGGGTGCTAGGGATGGAACCAAAATCCCTGTTCCAGGCTCTTCAGGGTCTCCTTCCTGAGGCTGGGTTAATACCTTTAGCCCACTTCCCTAGGCCTCTGTTTAAAAGTTATGGAAACACAAAGGTAGAAAATATCCACTTTAAAGTCATAAAATTGCAACTGCAATCCAGTAGACTTATCAGCGGGTAAAGCTTTTTTCACCAAGCCTGAAAGTCCTGAGTTGTGTCCACTATACCCACATGACATTCCCCCAAAACACCTAACCTACACAGATATCCCATGCATGTAGAGCACATACAGATAAATGTTTTTTCTCACTTTTTAAAAATTGCAAGCTTACTCATTGTGACTTTAGAAGTAATCCTGGAACTTCCTGGTGAATTATTTACATGTCAGAGTTCAAAGGTTCGAGTTAATATCTTGTTTGGTTAGCTTTCTTCTCCTTGTGACAAGGTCCCAGTGTTGTAGCACTGGCTACCCTGGAAATCAGCTGTGAAGCCCAAACTAATCTCAAACTCTCAGCAATCCCCTTGCTTCACCCTTGTAAATGTGGAATCATAGGTGGAGGCCACCGCACCCTTTGGTGTTCTTTCCTGTTTGCTTTTTTGAAACAAGAGCCTGGAACTCAGAAGACCATGGTGACCTCAGACTTCTGCCTGCCTCTGCTTGCTGAAACTGGGATTAAAGGTGTGCACCTGCATACATCCTGCTGTAGCCTTCATTTTTAAAGCATTCCTGATTGAATCTGCCCAGAGCCTTTCAGCAGTGCACCACTTAACTTCAAACCAGAAGTGCAGTGAACTGGTGCCTACAAATTAGGCCTTATCTAGCCCTCCATGAAATACAACCTCAGAAGATTCTTTTCAAGTTGCTTTCCTTTTGTTTTGTTGTTTATTAATCTTTTCTCAGTTTGAAATCCCCATGGCTACCTTTAGTATCGGTTCTTTGCAAATTTTTCTCTAGGCCTGGCTGGGTTACATAGCAAGATTCTACCATAAAACAACAACAACAACAACAACAACAAAACAAAAAAAACAACCAAACAAAAACACACCTTGACTCCACAGCAGTGAGCACCACCTCCTGGGCTCATTGAAGGACATACTGATGACTCCAAGACCCAAGCTTCTGATGTCTGCAGGGTCTGGCCCCTTTTAAAAATAGTTGGCAGGACAGTTAAATCTAGTGACTTTCGAGCCTGATTATGTGAGCTTCATCCCTGGAACTTCTGTAAAGGCTATAAATAGACACACACACACACACACACACACACACACACACACACACACAAAGTTTTTTAAGTTCTTGGGGGACACGGATGTTCCTTCTCTGGTGATATTCTGGAAACATCTGATATGCAGGTCAAAGTTAATAAAGCCTGGTTCTTGTGGGATTTTCTTTGAGGAGAAGATGTGAGATTTATATGTCTAACTATGGTGTTTATTTTACAGACTAAGAAGTTATAGAAAACTCCTGAGCAGGGAACGGACAAGTTTGAGTTCTTCAGGTTTCCAAGAGTGGACTGATTAGAGGGTTTGGTTGGTTTTGAGACAGAATAGCGTCTATACCTCATGGGCCTTGAACAGATGATGGCCTTGAACTTCTGTTCCTATTTTCTACCTTCTGAGTATTGACATTAGAGAATAAGCCCTGACCATGCCTGCTTTTATGCAATACGGAAAATGGAATCCTGGGCCTGGCTAAGCAAACACTTCCTTGAGCATAGCACATTCCTAGTATCCTCCCCCCCATGCTTTGAAGCCCTCCCAGAAACCACTATTGATAAAATAAAACACTCATACACATAAATCATTTGTATATACACACATGCATTATGTATGTATATATTTTAAATACAATAAAGGTTCATTGTGGGGGGTGGAAACTCTGGGACCACATTAGGTAGTTTCACCATAAGCCATGCTATAGATACATGGATGTTTTTTCCTTTAGTGAGATGCTGTACTTTTCATTCACGAACTTTACTCCCTAACAGCTCCTTCAAACTGAGCAGTCATGAAACTTCACTGGATCTGCCCACTTCCTGAAACTACAAGTTTTCCTTTTTCTGTCTCTTCCAAGTACTGGCCAGTACCTAAATAGGCTTTTTCTGTTACTTTGGACCTGTAAGTTCATCACATGCAAGCCCGATGCCTGCTCTCAGGCACCAGGAACTGGAGTAACACAATTAAAAGCCACCATGTGGGTGCTGGGAACCAAACCCCAGCCCTGCCCTTTCTAACAAAATTGTTAAAAACAAAAATCCTAGCACAGAAAAATAATCTGCGCTAAAGAAACGGGATATTCAGGTACGATACCTCAAACCAGTAATTCCAGAACTTTAGAACCTGGGGGAAATGGCCCAATTAGGAGCTACATAGTCCAGGATAGGCTAAGCTATACAAATTTTCAGTCTCAGAAACACTAAAAATGTATAGATAATACAATAAAAAGCCCATTGTTCTGTGTTAAGGCTTAAATTAAGCATGACTCGAAAACAGCTGGGAGAGGTAGTCATAGAATCGGTAGATGAGGCACAGTCATGATTTACAAACCAGCATGCTACACAAAGCAATAGATAAAAAATTCATAGCCTTAAACTTAAAACAATCCCCCTTATCTAAACTCAAATCGTGGAAAAGACTTTTTTCCTCGGGGAATTACCATAGCTGTTTGTCAAAGCAACATTCTATAAACTAGGAAATGAGCATGTTAAGGAGCACAGCTCACTTTAAGGCAGACTTACAACTAATGCACAGGAGAATGCAACCCTTTTAAGTGATAAGATGGGTGGCCCTGAAAAGGGCCTTTTGGGTGAAGATGCGTGTGAAACTCAGCCGCCGAAGCCGTACAAGGTGCGGCCCTGGCGCTTGAGCGCGTAAACCACGTCCATGGCGGTGACGGTCTTGCGCTTGGCGTGCTCCGTGTAGGTGACCGCGTCGCGGATCACGTTCTCCAGGAACACCTTCAGCACCCCGCGGGTCTCCTCGTAGATAAGGCCGGAGATGCGCTTGACTCCGCCACGGCGGGCCAGGCGGCGGATGGCAGGCTTGGTGATGCCCTGGATGTTGTCGCGGAGGACTTTGCGGTGCCGCTTGGCGCCTCCTTTACCAAGGCCCTTTCCTCCCTTACCACGGCCAGACATCCTGCACACTTCAAGCTTAAAGCCCAGTACACAGTGACTCCTACAGGCGTGCTTTCTTTCTTTTATAATACCATGGCGGACCTGTTTGAAAACCTGAAGGCAAGGGGCGGAACCCACAGTCAATGCCCGCCCTTCTGTGCGTTTGTTCTATTAAGGCTGGAGGAGACAAGGCGGGGACTGAGACAATAGCAAAGCCAGAAGTTAAAATGTAACTTACTGTATTACATACATGCGTACAATTCTTTCAGCGTTCAATAAGGACAATATATGTATTATCAACATATTAGTTCGTCGTTTATTGTTCACTTCACTAAACAGAAAATACTTCATTTAATATTCCAAGTCTCCGCGGTTCTCAACCTGTGGGTCGCGACCTCCGGGTTAACAAGTCAAATTTTTAAATTAGGATTCATAATAGTGGCAAAATACAGCTACGAAGGAACAACAGAAATAATTTTATGTTTGGGAGGGTCACCATAATATGGGGAACTGTATTAAAGGGTCTCAGCATTAGAGAGGTTAAGAACCACTTTGTCTAAATAGGTTTTCAGCACACAGGTTTTTTTTGTTTTTTGTTTTGTTTTTTTTTTTTTTTACGAGACAGGGTTTCTCTGTATTGTTTTGGAGGCTCTCGGTCCAGCCCGGCCTCGAACTCACAGAGATCCGCCTGCCTCCCGAGTGCTGGGATTAAAGGCGTCCACCACCACCGCCCGGCCAAAGCACACAGTTTTAAGATTCGAAGACTGTTTCTACTGATTTAGGTTTGCCTAGGAATCTCAGCAGTGTTCTTTAGCATGTAGATTGACCAGGGAAAGTGACAGCTAGGGTTTTAAATGATTAAAAGATGTTCTGGATATTCATCCCACAGGTGTGAATCTTCAGCTTGATTTACACATAGAAATCAGTGGATTTATAAATGAAGATAGTGGGGGTTCTATTTTTACTTTGCCTTAGCTGAATCTCGGTATTTCCTGCGTGTATGTTTTAGTCAAGAAACGTTACATGCTTATTGGAATGAAAAAGGTATTCCTAATAATGATTTATTGGAAATTTGTAAGACTCTGTAAACGAATGGTATTATTTTTGTACTTCAATCATTCTTACAGGATTTTTAAAAGAGAAATAGTAAAACTACGTTTCAATCTTCCCAGGAATAGACATGAAGCCTTATGTAGATTAAATCAATCTGTATTTTTAATAATACAGAGATGTCTCTAAGGACAATGGGCAAATAACAGATATTCTTTTTGAATCAGCTTTAAAATTTCTCATTATAGTCAGGGAGTTCCAGAGATCCAGCCCTTATTGCTCCAGGAGACTGAGTTTATTCTTCCAGTATCCTTTGTGAGGCAAGTAAGATTGTTATCCTGATTTTATAGTCCCTGTTACGTGTCTTTTGAGTATATGGATGTTTTCATTTCTGTTCCATGATAAGCAACTCTCTTTCTTCTATATTGGTACAGAAGTATCAATTTGGTGCCAAAATTGTTTAAATCTACCAAATGTAAGATAGACTATAGGAAATGTCATATTCCTTCATTTTCTCATGAGCAGAATTATACATGAACAATGAATTATCTACAAATACAAGGATATTTCCCAAAGAATTCCACATTTTTGTGACAAGGAACAAAGCGCTGAGCAGATATATATATATATATATATATATATATATATATATATAGTAGTGACAAAAGCAGTGATAATTTACTAAGAGGGAACATACATACAAGGAAGGAAGCAGACTAGAGCAAAAAGAAGTACAACCTCTCAAAAGGCTTACTATACAAAGAGGAGGGGGTGGGGAGTAATTTCATAAATAGCTCTAGGGCCATCTGCATAGCCTGGGTTTAGTCACTGTGCTGTACATACAGTTTTACAGCTTCCTACATTGCAGGTCTCATTAGTATCCCAAATCTCCACCAAGTGATGTGTTTTTTTAGGTCACCTTAAGACTTTATAAAGTGCCTTTTCTCCTTCAAGAGTGACAGAGTAGTGAAGGACTGAAAAACATTTCCCAGGCTGGAGAGATATCTCAAAGGTTAAGAGCACTGATTTCTCCAGAGATTCTGTCTTTACTTCCCAGAAACCACATGGTCGCTTACAACTCTTTGTAATGAGATTCTATGCCCTCTTCTGTCATTCAGGCAAACATACAGGCAGAATAGTAGATAAGACTTTAAGGAAAAAAAAAAGAGAGAAAGAAAGACATTTTCCAACTTCCTCAGTATCAACTTGGGTTTGTTGTTGGGATTTTTTTATATGCCAATTTTTCAGCTTTGGGTCAAGGCCTTCTTAACTTCTCTCTCCACTCTATCCCCACTCCCAACACAATCAGAATTGGTAGGAAACCTAAATAATTACAGATGAATTTATTAAAAATTCACCAAATGTGACAGATTGCATTTGGTGACAAGAGTAAGAAGGGAAGTGCCATGTCAGAAAGGCATCATTACTTTTTTCCAAACATGACAGGAAAATCCACATGGTCTCAGTATGGCTATAGGAAATGGAGTGCCAAAGTCTGTCTGATGGGGAGAATGTATCAGTTTATGGAATCGTCCCCTACATTAAGAAGACTGTCTTCTATATCATTCCCATTTTTCTAATTTTCTTTCTACTTCCGTAATAAGGACTATGATTAAAAGCAGCTTCGATTTATTTCAGATTGCAACTCTTGGGTTATGCTCCATTTCTGGGGAAGTCAGGTCAATTACACAAGACAGGAACACAGAGACAGAAGTAGAAGCAGAGACTACTAGGCATTGCTTAATGACTTGCTTCACATGGTTCACTCAGCAAGCTTCAATATACAGTTGACCACCTGTTCAATTTTGGCACTGCCCACAGTGAGTTATAACCTACCACATCAACCATCATTCACAAAAGTGGCTTACAGGCCAATGCGTTAGAGGTAATTTCTCAACTGAGGTTTGTCTTGCCAGACAACTATAGTTTACATCAGAAAACTAACCAGGGCAGTGTCTGCCCTTACTTTCCTTCCCCGTGAAGCTCCCATCATCTTCCAACTCCCATCGTCTTCTAGGTCTAAGTCATTTCCTAGAACATAGAACCCATCAAACCTTCTTCAGAAAACCGAATATCAGACATGTCAGATTATGATGTTTCCCAGTAAATTGTATTGTTTTCTGGCTGTTCTTTCATCTGTCTTTTCATTTTATTCTTTTAATTTGTCTTATTTGTTAGCAGGAAAGGCATGGTAGGCCTATGAAGGTCAGAGCACAACTTTTCAGAGTCAGTTCCTTCCTTTGTATTGTGGGATCCTGGTATCAAACCCTGGTCCTTAGGAGTGTGCAAGAGCTCGTACCCACTGATCTGTCTCAACAACTCTTTTTCTGTTTCATCTTGAGGAGTTCTGCATCAGACTTTGTCTTCCAGCTTGAGTTTTACTGACAGAAATGTCATGGAAAAGGTTCTTTTCTGCCTCATGACTTGTATTCCTTTTTATCTTCTCGTTTTTATGTGATCTGTTGTCACCGAATCTTTCGGTGCAACTGTCACTAAAGTGATGATCATCATGATATCAATAGTTTCTCGACCTACAGTGTGAATAAATGTTAAATATCTGAGGCATCATCATTTTCTAGATTTCTCTGGGAGAATATTTGATTAAAAGAGCTTCACTTGTTGACTGGGCAGTATCAGCATTTGTCCATCTTCAAATGCTATAGTAATGGTACAGCTGGATGGATTTATAATAAAATGAGGAGTCCCAGAAGGTAGCCTCCAGAGCCTCCTGTTTCTGTGCTGCCCCCACTGTAATATCTCACCTGGCTGTAGTTTCAACCTCCAGATGGTGTGGTGCAGCGTCCACATGACTATAGCTGTCCTTGAAGACACATTGCGCTGGTGTCTTATAGAAACCATTTGAATTGTTTTTATGTTTTTATTTTGTTTTTTGTTCTATTTTAATGATTTTAATTTTGATGTACTACACAAATGAATGCATTTTTTGATGATTTAGGTCGGATCAAAATCAAGGGTGAGACCCTGACTCCTTAGACTTTGTTTCCAATAGTTTCCATTTCACAGTTGCTGTCAGACAGGCACTTATAACTGTTTCAAAATAAGAATTAAAAAAAAAGCGTAATGGTTGAAGAATATCATATTACCTACTATAATCATCTTTTTGCTGCTCAAGTTAATATGAAGCATAAACCATAAGCGCATTACTTTCCTTTTTGGTGAAGACTGCTGAGGTTTATGATTTATTGTGGATCCAGTTCTGGCCTGGAATTCTCCATTCTCCTGCTTCTACCTCCAACGTACTGAGATTACAGGTGGCTGAATTGATGCCTAGCCACATATCTTTGCTTTAATATAAAATGAAGTCCCGTGCTTGCTGCACAGCCTGTATCCGAGAATGTGTGGAGGGTGTCGGGATTGATGACACAGAGACCAGTCGACGGTGTAAAGAAAACTTTAAGCAGGCCCCAAAAAGGCTCAAGAAGACTTCCCAAGAAAGGCTTCCCTCCAGAAAAGTTTCTGCTCCCTGTCTTACCCCTGGCTGGTTCTGCCCTGACACCAGAGACTTTGTAGGGTGGGTCAGAAGAGGTGGTTAGTCTTTGGAAAAGGTCGAGGTCAGGATGTTCCCCTGGGCAAGCCCTTTTCAGGAACTTATTGCCCCGGGCATTGTATTGTTTTTAGTAAACATGTGTTTAGTAAACATTGTCTTACAGCTGCCTGGTCCCAGGCTGATGGGGAAGTGGGTCTCTGGCCAAGGTTTGTTGTCCCCACAATGAAGTAATTAATATATGCAATTCTAAATACATACGTATACTTTCACCTGTTCCATGATGCTATGACTTGAGCAATTGGCCAAAGTTTCTCTTCCCTATGTCAAGATGGCCAAGCTGCACAGCCAAAGACTTTAACATTTTACTAACTAATTCCCTCCAATGTAATCAATTTAAAAGAAGTAATTTTATTTAAACCGTATTTAAAAAATCCATCTTATTTCCTTCTTCATGCCTTCCCCGTATCTCCCCAAATAAGCCAATGCAGTCCCAGCTACTCACTGAAGATAACTGTTCATTGCATCTAATTTTCCTACCAGAAAAAAAAAAAAAGAAAAGAAAAAGACTTTGAACACTGGAAACTCCTAAGTAAATCCAACCTCCAAACAGTCAACAAAAAGATACTAACAAGATTGTTTTGGTCCAATAGAATTTTCATATCAGAAAGAAGTAATGGGTATCTGTTACTGTAATGATTGCAGGGAATTAATGAAAAACCTTGCTTTTTAAAATACAAAGCAGGACCCATTGCTCTATACCATGACTGGCTGATATCCATGGGATGCTCACCTGTTATCTAATGAGGGAGGAGTGGATGGGGGTAGGGACTGGGGAGAGGCAAGGGAGGGGAAACTTTGGTTAAAAAAAGGAAACACACACACAATAATTATTCAATATAGGAAAAAATACAAAGCAGATAGGTAAATCTCAAAGAAAAAATTAGTTGTTTAAGGTCTGGAAATTCGAAAATGTGTGATTGATTGGAGAGCTCAGAATTAAAAATATAAGCAGAATTTTTTTAAGCAATAAGCTGACACTTGGCTCTGTGAAAGATTCAAGGACTTTGATAAGGCTATATTAGTTTGTTTTCTATTGTTATGATGAAACAATGACCAAAACCAATCTGTGGAAGGGTTTATTTGACTAACATGGCCCCATCACCGTCTAACAATGAGAGCAGGGCGGGAATTGAAGGCAAGAATGTGGGACAGAAACAGCAACAGAGACCGTGGAGAAAAGCTTCTGGTACTGGCTTGCTCAGCCGGAGCTCATGACCATGTGCCCTGCAACGGATCACCCACAGCGAGTTGTACTGTCCCAGTCACCAGGCCATTCTCATAAAAGTTTTTTCAATTGACCTTTTTTCTCCTCAAGAGACCTTTGGGTAAAAAAATATCCAGTACAATGATTTGCGCCTGTTGAACACTGGATAAATAAAACATGAAGCTCTCAAAACTGCAGCAATCCAGAGTTAAAAAAAAACCAGCGTTCTTCAGAATTTATGACTACTTTGAATTTCTTGCTATTTTTAATTACGCTTACTTATGTCTGTGTGTATGTGCACAGGATAAAATGCAGTGGGAGATACAGGCAATTTTGGTTCACCTGACATGGAAGCAAAGCAAGAACCTAACCCTTTACAGTGTGCTTACAGTAACAGGTTGGTAGCAGGTAATGGAGGATTGAAAATGAACGGTATACACTCTTTTACAGAAAACGTGGGTGGCTCTGAAAAGAGCCTTTGTGTTCAGGTTCGCACTCACTAGCCTTTAGGCCCTTTCCCCGCGGATGCGGCGGGCCAGCTGGATGTCCTTGGGCATGATGGTGACTCGCTTGGCGTGGATGGCGCACAGGTTGGTGTCCTCAAACAGACCCACCAGGTAGGCCTCACAGGCCTCCTGCAGCGCCATGACGGCCGAGCTCTGGAAGCGCAGGTCGGTCTTGAAGTCCTGCGCGATCTCGCGCACCAGGCGCTGGAAAGGCAGCTTGCGGATCAGCAGCTCGGTGGACTTCTGGTAGCGCCGGATCTCACGCAGGGCCACGGTGCCGGGCCGGTAGCGGTGGGGCTTCTTCACGCCGCCGGTGGCCGGGGCGCTCTTGCGGGCAGCCTTGGTGGCAAGCTGCTTGCGCGGGGCCTTGCCGCCGGTGGACTTCCGGGCGGTCTGCTTAGTACGAGCCATAGTGAAGAGTAGCAGAAATGGCTGGCAAAGAAAGCCTAAATGCCTGGTGCCGAAGTACATGTATATAAAGCGAGCGAGCCCTGTTCTCATTGGACCACACAGGAACATTACCCCTGCGACGGTATTGGTAGATCTGTTCGTATCACTCTCCCTGACCCGTCCCATTCATTTAAATATTTTCCCTTGATCTGGTTTTACACTTTTCCTTTACAGCTGTTCTTACAGCTTTCAAAGAAATGTACTATCTAGTTTCCTACGAGATCACCATTACTTATTAGGACATAGGCTGTTTGCTTGCCAACGTTTTTCAAACTGTGGGACCGAAGGTTAATTTTTCAAAGGCACCAGCTATACCTAATTAATTGGTCAAGAAACTTGAGTTTTCTTTTTCCTTCTACAGAAAGGTAGAAGAATCCAAATGCCCAACTTTCTTAAACTTTGAAGGGGTCTTTCTCAAGATAAAAGAATCCAAAAGCCCAACTTTCTTAAACTTTGAAGGGGGTCTTTGTCATTAATGGGACCTCGTTTTCAACCCCAAATGAGCATTAACAGTGAAGCTCTTGTTTCAAACCCGATAACTTGGATAAATAAGTACTTTCCCCTAAAAGCAATTAGGTGGAAAGATCCTAAACTTGTAATATACCGCTTGGGAAAAAAAGCTCAACCTAAGTGGAAAAAACTGTAATTGCTAGCCTAAGTTCGATATTGGAAACCAGTATGAATAAATGGCAGGTGCTTCATAACGGAAGTACTAGTAGAAACCTTAGGGAAATCATCGTAGTAGCTACAAGCATTACTAGGACATGAGAATTTACATGCTGCGTGGGTGTAAATCTGATAAGGCATGCTAAATCTAATTTCTTCCTTGTCCTTTTATCATTTATACCTTATTTTAATGACTATTCTGTCAGACCAAGAGCACACCCACATCCCCAAACACTATCTTGCTGAATTATTATTACAATCTTTGTATTTACCTAGGTAGTTCTCAATACCCTGGGCATCACATCACCGCAGTCATTTCAGCACTCTTATAGAAACAAGTGGGTGGCTCTGAAAAGAGCCTTTGTGTATTTTATAGTGAAGACCAGTGTGAAAAGCAGTGGTCTTACTTTCCCTTGGCTTTGTGGTGGCTCTCGGTCTTCTTGGGCAGCAGCACGGCCTGGATGTTGGGCAGGACGCCACCCTGAGCGATCGTCACGCGGCCCAGCAGCTTGTTGAGCTCCTCGTCGTTGCGGATGGCCAGCTGCAGGTGGCGCGGGATGATGCGCGTCTTCTTGTTGTCGCGGGCCGCGTTGCCAGCCAGCTCCAGGATCTCGGCCGTCAGGTACTCCAGCACGGCAGCCAGGTACACCGGAGCGCCGGCGCCCACCCGCTCCGAGTAGTTGCCCTTGCGGAGAAGGCGGTGCACGCGGCCCACGGGGAACTGCAGGCCGGCCCGGGAAGAGCGGGTCTTGGCCTTGGCGCGAGCCTTGCCGCCTTGCTTGCCACGTCCAGACATTGTGGATACAGAGACAAGAGTTGAAAGCTTGCTACAATCGTGTTCTGAGAAGGAATGAGAAGGTACTTATACTGGTTGATGGAAGTGGGAAGGGTGAAGTGTGATTGGTTAAAATAGCTGTCTCGCTGCAGCCAATAGCAGAGGACACATAATGCAACTCAATTTGCATAATGGTGTCACTAACTGGCTTTCAAATCATAGCTGAGGATCCCTGAATCACTTATTTGCATAGAAGGACTATAAAAGCCCAGGCACCAGACCACTGCTATACTGTAGTGTGTTTGTCTGTTTTGGTTTTCAATATCTTTCACCATGCCTGATCCCGCGAAGTCCGCTCCCGCCCCGAAGAAGGGCTCTAAGAAGGCCGTGACCAAGGCGCAAAAGAAGGACGGCAAGAAGCGCAAGCGCAGCCGCAAGGAGAGCTACTCCGTGTACGTGTACAAGGTGCTGAAGCAGGTACACCCCGACACCGGCATCTCCTCCAAGGCCATGGGCATCATGAACTCGTTCGTCAACGACATCTTCGAGCGCATCGCGGGCGAGGCCTCTCGCCTGGCGCATTACAACAAGCGCTCGACCATCACGTCCCGGGAGATCCAGACGGCCGTGCGCCTGCTGCTTCCCGGGGAGCTGGCCAAGCACGCCGTGTCCGAGGGCACCAAGGCCGTCACCAAGTACACCAGCTCCAAGTGAACGCTCTGACTTCACTCTTGACACAAAGGCTCTTTTCAGAGCCACCCACCTTCTCGACCAAAGCGCTGTTACTCGTTTTCTGTACTATTAAGACCACCAGCTCCTGTCAAGACAGACCCGACTAAAAAGTAACAGAGAAATGCAGTTCTCAATCAAGCATTACAACCATTCTAAAAGATAGCATGGGTGGCTCTGAAAAGAGCCTTTGCGATGGGCGCACGCTCACTCTAGCCAGGCTGCGGTGGTACACAGCCTTTAATGCCTGCAATCGATAGACAGAGGCAGGTGGCTGTTTTGAGGTGGAGGCCAGCCTGTTCTACTGAGTTCCAGGACAACAGGGGCAAACAGAGAAACCCTTTCTAGAAAAATGAAAACAAACATATCCAAAAGCTAGGCATGGTGGTACATGCCTTTGATCCTAGTTCTTGGGAAGCAGATGTAGGAGGATCTCGGAGTTCTAGCCTATATAGACCACAGCAAAGCAAAGCCAAGCAAAATGAGACAAAACAAAAAACAACAAACAACAATAATAAAACCAAAACGAACAAAAAACCCTGAAAATGGTAAATTGGTAAAGGCTCCTTGCTTCCATTTCCTTGCCCCCTCTCTTGCCTGACTTCTTAGCCAATTCACTAACATTTCTTGTAAACCCCACTGACCTGTTCTAAACCATCTGTCAGTGTTTTCCTGCCACATCCCAAGGCAGCAGAGAAAGGGGAAATTGTTGGCCATGACCACAAAAAGGAGCCTCTGAAGTCTACTGAAGCCTCTTACCTGCTGACAGTCAAAAAAAGTAAATGAATATTTAAAAAATTGCAACATATTTGCTGAATGTGTGCTAGAGACAATCATTTCTTTTATACAGATTTTTCAATGTAGAATGTTAAAATAACAATCATGCTTAAGGCTCGAACTTGTAAGACATTCAATTATGGCCTTCCCCTTTTCCATAATATGTTCTGGGAATTTTGCAAATTACGTTAGCCCTTTGCAGTAAAAGATCCTGAAATTGTTTTGCAACCCTGGTGGCCTAGGCTTTTACCTTATCAGCTGTGAACATCCAATGCCTATCACATACTGTACGCATATATTATGTATTGAAGGACTCCTACGCAACACTTTGGACTGTATCTTTGGAAGTTAATAGATTTGTATATATTTATGTTATTGTAAAAGCCATATATGATGAATATTACTGTCTTTTTACTATTAAAAAACAAATTGTTTGAGAGTCTTGCCCAGAACCTGATTGCTTTTAAGTAGTAGAGCTGAAAGATGATTTAGGCATAATATGCCTATATTCTTGACTTCAGAGCCTCGGGACTCCAGCTCTCCTATAGGACAAATTTAGAGAAAGAGAGTGTGTTCTTTCCTAAAAGTCTTTAGTTTCTATAAGTGATAAAAATGCAGATCTGATCCTAGGAAATATATTTATAGAGGAAAAGAAAACTGACATTGAGAAGTTGGGTGAAGGTGAAGATTGTTCTTGGGGAGGGGCAAAAAAAAAGATGTAATCAGAAAGACAAGCAAATAAGTGTAAAGAAGAAATTTACGTAGAAATGGTGGGCTAATATCTTGGAGTTGCAAAATGTGTTGCACAGACATAATCAGACGTTTGGAGAGATACACAGGGCAACTCCAGAAATACTATGAAAGAGTGCAAACAAAAACCCAGCTGCAAGTGACTGCTCACAGAAAGTTTCTGGAAATGTGATGGGGTGAGAACAGTAGCTACTTTGTAGTCGAGACAGCGCCTTTCTTCCTTCCTTCCTTTCTTCCTTTCTTTCTCGAGACAGGGTTTCTCTGTGGTTTTGGAGGCTGTCCTGGAACTCCCTCTGTAGACCAGACTGGCCTTGAACTCATCGAGATCCGCCTGCCTCTGCCTCCCGAGTGCTGGGATTAAAGGCATGCCCGACAAGACAGCATCTTTCTATATAGCTCTGGCTGTCCTGCTGCTCTCTTTGTGTATAGATCAGGCTGGTCTCGAACTTTCAGACATCCATCTGCATCTGCCTTCCTAGTGCAGGGATTAAAGTTGTGCACCACCATGCCTGGCACCAACAACTATTTTTAAAGATGATAGATTGCCATTGGGATTTGAGAGTTTGGTGTTTTCTTTTTGGCAGGCTCTTACTAGGCACCCTATCCCTTATCCCAGGTTGGTCCAGAATTCACAGGATACTTGAAATTGGCCTCCATAGAAAGGCAATCCTGCCTCAGCTGCCCAAATTCTTAGCAAATGGGAATAATCCAACATGCACAGTTGACCTATCTTTGATTTAAAAAAAAATACTAGTGCTAAAGACTTTCAAATTCCTTCACTTTTATGTTTGGTTGAACAAAATTGGGGATTACACATAAGTATTGAAGACAATGATTGCAGGGTCCTCCCTGCAGGTAGGGCGGGGGAAGGGCCAGTCCAGCCGGGAGTGGGATGGTGAGTGTGGACCACTTAGACCCTCCCCCCATTAGTTACGGGGAGAAAAAGAACACACACTGAGTAGGGAGTCTGTTGAAGCAGGATCTCGATTTATTCCAACATGCAGGAACTTATATAGGACTGAGGTAGGGGTGGGAATCTTGGGATAGGGTAACTTGACCTGAGGAGTTAAGGGCCAATAGTATTCCACCAAGCAGGCAGGTAGCTAGGCAGGGGGCAATCTTGCCTCAGATCTGGCTGAGTCACCCCCACTTAGAGGTTACAGGTTAGAGACAGGTCGCTAAACTCTAGCCAGGCTCAGGAGGTTACACTGGACCTCACATCTGAGCCCTAAACTCAAGTCAGGCTCAGGAGCCTTTCTTAGGCCCAACAAATGATTTAAAAAATTTAAATAGCAAAACTACCCACCAATGCTGACAATTTTTATCCCTGACTGATGGAAGGTTCTAGTAGTTATTTGTTTTATATAAGGCTTAATATAGTCCAGGTGGACTAAAACTCACTCAGCAGCCAAGGGGGACCTTGAACTTCTGAACATTTTGCCCCCATCTATACATAGTGAAAGTTCCTTAGTAATTGCATAGCATTTGCTTATTTAACAAATGCTAAAACAAACCAAAACAAAACAAAAACCCAAGATGCACCAAACAAACCTCTCCAAAAAACAAAAAAGCAAAAGCATCATAGGTGTTGGAGAAACAAATTAAAATAGAATAGTTCTGTCAATTCACGCTTGTCGCACCTGCTGTGCGGCCTGCATCCGAGAATGTAGCGAGGTGGTCGGGATAGATGACACAGAGACCAGTCGGTTGCTTTAAGAAAAACTTTATGCTTCCCAAGTCAGCTTAGGAGGAGACCCCAGTCCGTTTAGGAGAGAGCTCTCAGGGAAGTCTCTCCAAGAAAAAAGAGCTTCCCTTTTTATGGACTTCTGCCATCCATCTACATACAATTCTTTCCAGACTTCTCACTCTCCTGGCTGGTGGTTTAATCTCCGGCCCCAGAATCGGGGAGACACCGCAGGGGGGGGGGGGGGGACAGGAAGAGGCATCTAGCCGTAGGGGGTGTGAAAGTCATGGTATCTCAGTGAGTGAGCCCTTATCTGAGCCCTATCAAGAGCTTTAAAGCACTGAATTGTTTTCAGTAAACATTACACAGCTGCCTGCTCCCAGGCCGAAGGGGAAGTGGGTTTCTGCTCAAGGTCTGGTGTCCCCACACACGCTCAGAGACATACTAGAGGTGTTAAGTTCACCTAGGTGTGGCTAAGCTATTGCAAAAATGAATTTCAAAATAGCACTTAAAGATTTTAAGGTTTTTTTCTATTTTAATTTTTTAAATTTAAATTAGAAACAAGCTTGCTTCACAGGTCAATCCCAGCTCCCTCTCCCTCCCCTCCTTCCCCGCCCCCCACCAGCACCCCCAACCCCCATCTCATTCCCCCTCTGCTCCCCATGGAGGGTGAGAGCTTCCATGGGGGATCTTCAAAGTCTGCCATATCATCCCAGGCAGGGCCTAGGCCCTCCCTCATGTGTCCAGGCTGAGAGAGCATCCCTCCATGTGGAATGGGCTCCCAAAGTCCATTTGTACGCTAGGGATAAATACTGATCTACAATCTGAGGCCCCTTGGATTCCTGAGGCCTCCTCACTGACACCCACAATCAGGGGGGTCTGGATCAGTCCCATGCTGGTCTCTCAGTCACCAGTCTGGAGTCCATGAGCTCTCCCTTGTTCTGGTCAACTGCCTCTGTGGATTTCACCGCTGGGTCTTGACTCCTTGGTTCATCACTCCTCCCTCTCCGCAACTGGGTTCCAGGAGTTCAGTTCAGTGTTTAGCTGTGAGTGTCTGCCTCTGCTTCCATCAGTCACTGGATGAAGGCTCTAGGATGACATACAAGGTAGTTATCAATCTTATTATCAGGGAGGGCATTTAAGGTAGCCTCTCCACTATTGCTTAGAATGCCAGTTGGTGTCATCCCTGTAGATCTCTGAAAATCTCACTAGTGCCAGATCTCTCCTCAAACCTATAATGGCTGCCTCTATTATGGTATCTCTCATCCTGCTCTCTATTCTTTCCCCAACTTAACCTTCCTGCTCCCCCATTAGTTATTTTTTTAAGAGATGGAATCAGTGTATTTTCTTGGCTAGCCTGGAACTTGCTAGATAGTACAGACTGGCCTTGAATTCCAGCAGTCCTTAAGTTCCTGCCTCCTGGGGGCTGGGATGATAGGTATGCCTCACCATGCACTATATGAGCAAGATTTTGTTTTTGTGTTTTCTGTCAAAGGTGGCTAGCCTTCCAAGGGCCTATATTCCCAAAGTCTCCAAACCACTCCTTTAATCTCCTCTACCTGGTAAATCTTTTGTTTATACAAAGGCCCTGCTTCATTCCTGAAACTTTATGTCCAACAGTGACTGCCCCTTCCCTTTTCCTTCATTTCCTTTGTCATAATTAGACTTAGGCAATCATATCAGATTGTAACACCTCCTATCAGCGGAATGATACACAGTCACCACCTGTATTAGAATAAAACACAAGTGGTGTTTATTTCTAAGTGAATTTACTGCAGCAGTGTGCTAAAGTTAGCCTGACAGGGATTCTGACACCTCTTTTTTGTTGTTTATCTAAGACAGGGTTTCTCTGTGTAGCTCCGGCTGTCCTGGAACTCACACTGTAGACCAGGCTGGCTTATATTCAGAGATCTGCCTGCTCTCTGCTGGAGTGCTGTGATTAAAAGCAGGAGCAACCATGCCCGGCTCCCTGACACCACTTCTTCCACAGAGAAATTGCCCCTTCAAGTTACTTTTGCTTTGTTTGGTATCTCTTTGAGGGTTGCTGAGGATGTTCTTTCCAACAACCGTAACCCTGGAGTAACAGATACCCAAGTAAATTTGATGGAACTGGATAACTAAGTATCTAGATGTAACTTTGGTGTGTGAATTGATTTTAAATTTATACAATCTATGTACAGATGAACTACCTTACATTTTTATTTGCTACTCAATTGAGATGTGGTCTATGTCTATATTACACATCAACCCTAAAGGGTTTATTATTAAAAAAACACAGGATTTTATGAATAGTTTTCATATTAATCACATGTTGAAATGATAACTACAGTTGGTTAAGTAAAACACACTAAATTTAATCCCTTGTTGCTATGCAGACCTATTATAAAGCTTTCATCAAGGGCAAGCCTAAACTCAAGGGCAAGCTGTGATTCAGCTAATCCTCTCCTTGGCATTCAGGTGTCTCTGTAGGAAACTGCATAGACTAATAGAAGGAAGAGAATGCTTTTAGGTATACATTTTGAGAGGTAGCTCGACCCCCCGGTAGCCTCTAATGCTCTAGGTAAGGCCTGATACTTCTGATACTTGCACCCACAGGTGTGTCCCCCATTGTTTAAATACTCCAAACTGTAAAATAAAGTTGTTGTCTTTTCCCCCTAAAAGAAACCCAGAGGCTCCAAGTAAATTTGCTCTCATGCTCTTCCCTTCCATGGACCTCCAAGTGTTAACTTTTGCTGTTTTTACTGACTGGACCGAACACAGCAAGTGGTACCGATTGTGGTGTGGGATTGATGCCTATACTTGGAACCTGAAGGACACATGACAATTACAGACATAACAGATTGGGGTGATACAAGATGAAGCAAGTTTGGGGAACACATTGACTTGTGAACAATACATGCCCAAGAACATGAAAAACTCAGAACATGTGAGGAAACATTATGTGTCGTGGTTAAGTAATATGTTGAAACTAAGAGGAAAATAAAAGCAACTAAGGAGGATTTGGTACAATGCTTAGAGATTCGAATTGAATATAATCCTTGCTTCCCCCCCAAAAGGAAACTTAGATCTTAAGAACTGGCACCAGATATGGCAAACGATAAGACAAAAGCTGAGTTGGAGCTATTGATTTAGATTTTAGAGGATAAATTATTATTATTATGGTCTCCACTAATTCACTTATTGAATTTCACCCAGGACAGACTTGTCTAACTCTTAATTCTACCATATAATGAGGGAAAGACTCCCTCTAGTGTCCAAAAAGAGCAAGGTTTCAGATGCTGTGGGGAAGTTTGGACCCAAAAGCTAGGGAAACACAGCCCCAAATTGGAAATATTAATAGAAAAGAAATCTTTTAAAAGATTATCGGGTCCGAGGGTTGTTGGAATAATTGGTGATAAATGGTGGTCATCTGCCTGCCCACTAAAGGTTGGCTGATGGGGCATTACAGTTGTTGGCACACCTGGACAAGTTTATCAGAATACTAACACAGTTGCTTTATTGGTCTCATAGAGAATAACATGCTGGATCATTTATTCCTTATGTGATAAAAGTTTACCATTGAGTTTATGAGGAAGAAATGTATTGTCCTCAGTGAGGATAACTTTAAATTCTAATGCTTAAGTCATGATGACTGATTTGGGGGCACATTCCAGGGAAGGAGTTAAGGAAGTCTACAAGGCATTGATTTACTAGTAGCTGTGACAAATATTCAAAATTATACTGCCCTTGAAATGAGTAACCAAGTTCTAGTGGGACAATTGAAAAATCTTTTTAGTTTAGAGCTGTTGAGCCCAGTACTTGGCTTTCAGTGGCTCCTACTCAGGGAGAAACTTGTGGCTATTAAAGAATTAATTGTAGAACAGCTACAGTATTCCCTGGTATACGCCTGTATTTGCCATTAAGAAAAAATCTGGCTGGGCGTTGGTGGCGCACGCCTTTAATCCCAGCACTTGGGAGGCAGAGGCAGGCGGATCTCTGTGAGTTCGAGGCCAGCCTGGTCTACAAGAGCTAGTTCCAGGACAGCCTCCAAAGCCACAGAGAAACCCTGTCTCGAAAAACCAAAAAAAAAAAAAAAAAAAAAAAAAAAAAAGAAAGAAAAAATCTGGTAAATGGAGATTATTAAATAATTTAAGAGCCATTAATACTAGTATGCAAGCTATGAGATCCTTGCCACCTGGCCTCCCTCATTGTTCTATGGCATATGAGAGTTTCAGATTTAAAAGCTTTTTAAACAATCATTCCTTTATATCCTGAAGATCAAATTAGATTTACTTTTTCTGTCCCTTCCAAAAATCACTGCAAATGAAGGTGCAGTAAATTCATGGAACCATACCACTCTGTGAGTAGAAGGAAGAGTTTATTGGGTGAACAAACTACCTGGTTCTAAGACTAGAGGACAGCAGCTGGTGGGAAAAGCCTTGCCAGTCTTATTGGGAAGGTAGTGGTGGGAGGAGGCTTGTGGCTCAGAACAGCCTGGGGTCCTTGATGGTAAGGGTGATAGTGACTTTCCTGGTAAGCAGAAACCACAGTAGGAGGTACTGAGGAATGCTAAGTTTATCTAGTAACAATGCTTCTGTTACCTGGTCAGAGTCCTGCATGAGTTAGGACTGTCATTTTAGGACATTGTCTGGGCTTGCTTTGGACTTAACAATCAGGAACCATTTTCCCTATAATAAATTTATTTATTCCCATCCTATAACTTCTTATTTTTGCCCTAAAATAACATTTTTTTTATTCCTCTAAAAGATTCCACCAGAGTATTTATTGACAGTAGCTATAATGGACAAGTGTTGTGTAGCAGTTTCCTCCAGAATTGAATCATTCCATCCTGCAGAGATGCTCCTTAAGCAGGAAGGTAAATCTTTATGGAAGTCCCTGAAACTGAGCAGATTCACCAGGCTCTTCTTCCCAAGAGTAAACAAGCCAAGCTGCAAATACTCTGAGACCAGACCTACTAACTGGTAGAAGCAGAAATCATCTGAGCTGCCTGGAAGAGGTTTAAACAGACTGGATGACTTGGAAGGGACAGTCTCCACCTTGTTGGTCTGCCTCAGGCTGTATAGTGTGCTCCAGGTTACCCAGTCTTTGTGAGCTGTCATCTGTCCTGGGATAGGCTTAGGTGATGCAGCTGTCTTTGGGTTCCTGAATTTCTACCCCTGTAAGTAATCCCTCACCTATTCTCCTGTTGAAGTAATCATTTTGTATACTGTGTGAAGATGTGTCTCTGTTTAACCTAACCTTCCTAAGACACTATCTGATTGGTTTAATAAAGAGCTATAAGAATGGTCAATAACTAGCCAAGAGATGATAGGTGTGACTTCCAGGGAGAGATATAAACTCTGGGAAAGAATCTGACGTGCTAAATATTTGCCAATCAGATGAGGAGGAAATTGGATATATAGTACTAAGGAGATGTAACAAGCCTCATGGCAAAATATAGATTAATATAAATGGATGAATTTAAGTGTTAAGGTTAAGAGCTACTTGGGAATAAGCCTAAGCTAAGGCTAAGCTTCCCTAATTAATAAAAAAATCTCCATGTCATTATTGGAGAGCTAGTGATATAAAGAAAAACCTGTTGTATACTCCAATATGTAACAAACCCCCTTAGTGTCATTTCTGATTCACAGTATGCAGTGAACATTGCTCAAATAGAAACAGCACAGGTCAAAACTATCTCATTCATTGTTATTGCTATTGTTTGATAACTTGCAACTAATAACCAGGCAAAGAGTCTACCTTCTCTATTTTATCAGTCATTTGAAGTAACACTCTGGTTTACCAAAACTAGTAAAAGGGAATTTTGAGGTTGATAAATTGACAGCTCCTGTATTTGAGACAGTTGTTGAATCACATGTTTTATTACATCAGCCTGCTAAAATGTTACAAGACCAAATTTCTACTATCAAAGAACAAGCTTCACAAGTAATTAATTCTTGGAACACCTGTGTACCCTTAACTCAATGAGAAAACTGGATATTGTGAACCTCAGAGGAATTAAAGTTAATCCCAGCTGGTAGACGGATGTTACCCACATACCTTACTTCGGAAAGTTACAATACGTTCACGTTTGTAGTGAATATTTATTCACATGTATATGTGGTAAAGCTCTTTCTGGTGAATTAGTTTCACATGTGATCACTCACATGCCATATTGGGTTTTCCTTATGGGGATGGCAAAATAGGTTAAAACTGGTAATGGTCCAGTATATGTTTGTAACCCTTTCAAGTCTTTTTTTTTCAAGATAGAATATTATTCATAAGATAGAGATACCTTATATCCCCCAAGGTCACCCAATGATAGAGAGGCTGCGTGGTCTAAAAGCTTCAATTAGAAAAACAAAAGGGGAGACGACTACATTAGGACTGTTGCCTCCTTTTAATCTTTGTATGTAGCTGTGATTAATTTTTTTCACTTGCAGTGTGGATGGTCACATACCATGGAGTTATATCATGGTCAAAATAGCCCCCAACCCACAGCTTTTGTCTATTGGGAAACCCTGACACAGGAATGGACCAGATGTAGTGCTGGCCTTTGAAAAAAGATTTGCTTGTGTTTTTCCAGAAATTGCAAATGAACCTGTGTTGATTCCAACCATAAGTATCAGATTCTCATCTGGAAGAGCTACAGTCATGCTTTCAGAAAGAGAGAATAACAAACCAAGTAGAGGCAACACCAACCAACCCTTTCATGCCCGATGTTCAGTGACAGGACAGCCAACAGGAAAAAGCCATGACACCAGTGACAAAGAACACAGTCCTCCAGTCTGCTAACATGGGGAGCTCATTTAGTGTACTTGTTCCAAGGCTCAAGAGATCTCCGAAGAACAAGGATGGAAGCCACAGGATCTTTCCTGGCTTGCACCGGCTAGACCATATTACGAGGGTTCTGTAGAAGGAGAGGAACTGTATTTAGCTGTTCATTGCATCAGACTTCTGCATTAAGAATAAGTACCTAAAAGCTTTGTAAAGGAAGTCAGTTAAATTCAGCATCTAACACATTAAAAGACACATAGAATTCTACTGAGTCACTTTTATAGGATTATCTAGCAAAGTTTCCAAAGACACTTCTTGGATATTCTGAATAATTTACCCCAAACTGTCAGTTTGATGTCAGAGTGCCTAGAAGCCTCCTTTAATCGGAGAACATGGGGGGGGTTAGTGTGTGGACCTTGGAATTAGGTTTTGCTAAAAGCAAGAACTGAAAGCCAGGTAAAGGACATGGCCAATTGAATTAGCATTCATGTCCCTTGCCAGCTGTGTGATAGCTTAGGTGCAATATTTTCATGCTTACAGCTTTCTCATAAGTCAGTTCAGGATACATCGAGGACAGAATGATTACTGCTTTCTTTCTGTTGCTTGGAAGACATCTAGGGTGTTCATACAGACTCTAAGATCCTTGACTGTCATGTGAGACATGAGGAGTAGTTCATCTTCCCTATAGACAAGGAGGAGGTTGTCCTGGTCTGGCCTACACAGCCAGAGACAGAAGACACAGGCTTCTAGCAAGTCTTATTGCCCCATGCTTCCTTATCATGCAAGAAAGCTAGGTGTAAGGATTCAGGCATTATCTGGCCTGCTCCTGTCACCTGGCAGGATGCACTCAGGCAGCACCCTGGTCAGCGTGCAGTGCAAAGGACCCCTTTAAAAGAAAGACCCCCCCACCCCCTTGTTCTTTATTTCCTGCTCTCATTCCCGATGTTCTCTTGTGGTAGACAGGACCGCTCTTCTGTCCCCTCTCTGTTTCTGTGTCTCTTTACCTCTTTTCTCTTTCCTTCCCCGTCCCGCGCCTTTCTAAGAAAACTTCTCACTATGCTCTGTCTGCCTGGCATGTTTGTCCCCGACCTCGGTTACCTTCGCCAGCCATGAAATCCCTGTAGCTTTATCATAGCACTAGCATGCAGTGTGCTGTGATGGAACTGTGTCCCATCCAAGGTGAACGGCAGTTCTTGGGCCATGGGATGTCCTGTCATACAAGTGTATTGTAAATTTAACCTATTTTACTCAAGCATTTAATTTTTTATAACCAGCTATTTTTACACTGGTTAGAAATAATTTAGAATATTTTACAATAGGCAGACAATGTTTACTTTAAACTTGTTTTGAGTGACTTGTTTTAGGCCTGTTGACAATGTATACAGAAGATACAATGGGAGATATGAGTTGGTCTTTACCTCCAAGCTTGTCTATGTAAATGAATTACATGTATACATAGCATGGTCACAAACAGTTCTAAGCACATAAAATATTTGATCATTTGTTAGATGACTGATCATTAACTTTTGTGTTTTAGTTATATTAAACAGTTAATACGTTAGTAACTCCCATAAGATTAGTATTTTCTATTTTTATCCCCGTTAATATTTTAAGCCTTAAAAATTACAATTTTGAATAGAAACTCTTAGTATCAAAATAAACTTTGCATACAGTCTGTGGAGAGACTGGGAACCTCATTTTCCTGATCTTTTTGTTGCATAGTTTTAGAAAATATAGTTTTTGTGATTCAGTTTTTCAAAATAGCTAAAGCTTACCGAAATTAGCAAAGACACAAGCAATTAGACATACATCGTGAAGCCAGTTTTTGTTAGCAGGAACAGATATGATATTCAGGCACAAGGGGGACCTTGGCGAATCCCATGGCAGGTGGGAGCCAAATAAGCCATGCAGGCAGAACTTCTTACGAGGGAAGTTTTATTGGGGGAAAGGAAGGAAGTGGGGAAAGCCAAAGGGGAGAGAGAGAGACAGAGAGAGACAGAGAGAGACAGAGAGAGACAGAGAGACAGAGAGAGAGAGAGAAAGTGAGAGACAGAGAGAGACAGAGAGAGACAGAGAGACAGAGAGACAGAGAGAGACAGAGGAAGAGAGAGGAAGAGAAGAGGAGAGGAGGGGGAGGAGAGGGGAGGGGGAAGAGTGGAGAGGGGAGAGGCTGACAAAGCCTGCATGCTTCTTTAGAGGAACAGTGGGAAGAGAGAGTGGGAGTGGGCAGAGCTTGTCTCTCAAAGGGACCTTTTGTGGCTGCATACAGAGACAAGGTATTTGCTCAGGGTTGACCCAGGTCCCCAAGGGGGTGGGGCCAGGGTGTGCCTGGATGCTAGCAATTATAACATAGGAACTTACAAACCTTAATTATTGAACATATTTTATTCCTACGTCCTATATGTTGCATACACCTTGTATAACTTACTCAGAGCTCCTGCAATATGACTTTGAGTTTTTGTTACTTTGCCCTTATTAATTTATTTTTTTTTACTCTTAGGATAATAATAATCATTTTATCTCATAAAAATCATTCTTATCCAAAATATTTTAAACTTTTATTTTTACCCCCCAAACATAACCTTATATTTTATATTTGTTTATTGTTTAAACATTTTTAAACCTGCATTTTGTTTCATTCTATTTTCCTAAACAAGAGTTGAGCACAAGTTGCATATATGGTATGCTATACAAATGAAGATTTCTCATACATAGACTTTTACCTATCAACCCCTTTTTATTATAAGTTTTACAGTGCTCGGGATTGTTCAAATTTTAAAACCATATTTCTAAAAGTCTTACAAATTCTGAAATAAATAAAATTACATTCTAGCCAGAGCTTCAAAGATATCCATGACTTGAATGGAGGAGCATTTTTGTAAACAAAACCAAGAAAGGGGGAGACTCAGAGAGCCAGCTATCTGTAATTATGTTTGGCCATTTTAACATTCATATATAAATTTCTCTTGATTAAAAAATTAGTATGAGATAAACAACAGTGACCCCTAATGGAAATATTTTACCTCTTAGCTGTTTTCAAGCAAATATGTTTGTTTCCTGAGCTGTTTTGTTGTTCTCCTTCTCCCTGCTACAGGGGCTTTGAAGGGAAATTTGAGACAAACTTGTTTGAGTCTGAAATGGGCAGACAAATCCCATTTTCAGAGCCAGTCTTTCAGTAAAATAAAGCAGCACGTGGCTATTTTCAAATATTGTCTATCCCACAAAGACATTTGGATGTCTGTTATACTGAACAAAGATCTACCCATAACCAGTTTGTGTGTCTACAGAGGGTGACAACCTGAAAAGCTTAACAAGTATTTTTTTCTCCTATAAAGACATCAAGTTGCCAATAATATAAGGACTTGTAACCAAAAGCCACCAAACAGAAAATTATAGATACAAGCAAAAGTTTCCAAGTTGGCTGGGGCAGAAACAGAGGCAGACTATAAATCAAAGGCAGATGAGTTCTCCAAACAGAACTACTATTCTGTCTCAGGGGAAGTGTGTTTAGAAAACCAGTTCAAATGGTAGCCTGCATTTGGGCACTGGCTCAGTTGCAAGTGACAGCTGAGTGTCGGGGATGAGAAGTGTTATGAGGAGCTGGGGGAAGGTCATCAGATCATTTTCCATTTTGTCTTAGGAAGTTATCTACATCAATTGAGATATTGAAAGTGAAAATTTCAAATTTGAACCAGTGGTGGCCATTGTCTAATTAATTATATTGAGGCCAAGTTGGGCCTGCGAGCTGAACAAGTGTGGTCAGTCTGAGATCTCCTGAATGGAGCTCTTTTAGATTAGACCAGACAGGCTAAGGGATAGACAATTTGGAACCCATTCCAGGTGTGTTCCTAAAGTAAAAAAAAAAAAAAAAAAAAAAAAAAAAGGGTCAAATTCAGCAACTTGGAGGCATTCCTCAGGTTTCAGATTAACTATATGTATCTGGAAAGTAGGATGGTGTCCCTATTCTTGTATTTTCCAAGAGTTCAGAGACAGAGGGGCCCAGGGAATATTCACTGAGAGAGTCTCGATGGCCTGTGGAGAGTTCCTGGAATTCTTGACCAGGTGAACTTGTGGGGTCTGGAAAGCTCTGGGAGCCCTTGAATGAGCAGTTTGAAGACTAGATGGGGGATTCCAGGAGACCTAATTGGGTTGCCTTTTAGTTAAGACCTATGACTTACCTTGTCCTAATATTTTGGCTGTGTTGGATTCATGGTTTGGTCAAATGGAGAAAGGACTCCCATTTGGATGTCAAAGTCTCAGAATAAAACAGAAGGAAATTCGGGGAGAGAAGGATGGAGATTGAGAAGGAAAGAAATGGCTATTTGAAAGAGATGGATGGCCCTGCCAGGCCTAATTGTGGCCTGGGGCCTGTGAGTGGATGAGGACAAGGGAGGCCCATCTTTGTGGAGGGTTCTGGTTGACCTTGGGTGCCCTTCCTCGGTTTTGGCACATGATGATAGATTTCCGAGGCAGAGAGCTGGGAGACTGACCTTCCGCAGATAGGACTATGTGTACTAGTGCACACTGGGAGTGGCAGCCTCCCATCAGAAAAGGGAGGGTCTGCAAAGGGAAAAACCTGGCTTCAACCCTCATAGGGGGAGGGTGAGGGGCTTGGCATCAGGGTCCAAAGCAATAGCTCTGCTTCATCTTGAGTAAATGTCAGAGAGTTAAAAAACTATCCTCAGTATTCCAAGGTTAAAGTTATAAGACCTAAAGGTCTAAGTTGTGACTACCAAATGATGTTGGGTCTAAGGTGTGGATGTCTTACCTAAATAACAAGAGACTTGGTCTAAGGTGTGGTTACTCTTAACCCTCAAGGCCAGATAATGAGAGAATTAGACTAAGGTGTGGTTACTGAGTATTTGGAGAATTAAGGAAGTAAGTCTTTTTGTTCTTTGCCTTTCCCCCCTCTTTTGATGGGCATATAAAAACCAGTAAACATGGGTGGTTCAGTATTCACTGGATGCCCCCAGCCCTAATCTGTGTCTCTGTCCTTTTTTCCCTTTTTTGGGTATCTTTAGTTTTTCTGCCTGTCATTTTTTTTTTGTTTTTGTTTTTGTTTTTACGAGACAGGGTTTCTCTGTATTGTTTTGGAGGCTGTTGGTCCAGCCTGGCCTTGAACTCACAGAGATACGTCTGCCTCTGCCTCCCGAGTGCTGGGATTAAAGGCGTGCACCACCACTGCCCGGCTCTGTCTGTCATTTCTTAATCCACACACTTTCCTCCAAACATGGATTGGACCAGTAAGTCTGGCTGGAACCGGCTGTTGTGGTCTCCCTGTGAAAGACCTCGCATCAAAGTGACGGCCACTGAACCGAGCCCTCTGCCCAAGAACCGGGGCCAGACCACTGGCTGCAAATGCAAGAGGTGATTTATTGAGTACACAGGCGCCTGCGGATGCTACTGCAACTCGGGTGCAGAGCATACTGAGCTTGCAGGGAACACAATATTTATAGAGTTTTAATGGTTACATAAGTATCAGCATAGCAACAGGCATTTCATTGGCTCATCTTGGGGGCAGGGTTAGTTCCCACGGACTAGGTGTCCTGGTATTGCCACATAAAAGACCCTGGCACGCTTCAGCAATTATTATCCGGGTCCCATGACTGCTCTGGTGACCACAGATCCTGTTTGACATTCTGCCAGCTGGGCGAGGCACCTGGTCTGGGTTTTTTTTCATTAGGCAACGGCCTGGCCTTGCTTTTCTTTTCCTAGGGAGTCCTGGGTAGGGGTCTTTCACCTGAATGGGGTTACTACAGATTGGGAACTAAGAAGTTCTTGCAGATGTAGGGCTCTCGTGCCCTTCCTGGAATTGCTTGTCCAGACAAGACGACTATCCTTCTGCGCTGATGAGTAAAGGCGAACAAGGTTATCTGTAATCTTATATGGATCCCATTTTACATCTGATCACACAGGAGCAAGTTAAAAAACCACCTGGATGGTGTGTAAGGGTCTGAGGAAACAAACACTGAAGTGAGACTCCAGACTCAATAGTATGCAAGAGCAATGAGCTATTCCAGCATGCTTGTGGGTCGTTCTCCTGTACAAAATAACGACCCTGAGAGGAGTGTGCAGGCTCCTTTTAATCACAACTAAGGGAATTTTAAGGACAGTTACGTCATCTCAGATACAATTGGTTAAGCAGGCAGCAGTTACATTAGTATACTTTTAGTTGCCTGAGGTTTTATCTGTGGCCATAATTGGCTGAGTTTCAAGCGGGTTGCAGGAACTGTCCTTGAAACACTGTGGGGCTGACTCAGGTCATGGTCATGCTCTCTCACTCATCCCTGAAGGTAATTTGTTGATAAATTTCCCTTTGTTGGGAGAGACACCTGTTTGCCCCTCTCAGAGAACTCAAACCTAAATTCAGTTGTAAAAGTGGGAAAGTTTAAACCCTTCAGTTGATAATAGTATAATGACATAATAGTACTTTGTGCTGTGGGACATTCACCAGAGAAGATTGTGCCGGCACGGGTTTAAATCAATAGAACGTTTTCATTAGCCAGACAGTGACTACAGTGGATGTTTTGGATCCCAATGTAGCCTCAAGCCATTTTCAGTGTGGACTTTTAAGCACAAAAGCCATGTCTTGGGTTGACATACTTCAGTTAACAAGAGCAGTTAGCCAGAAGCAGAACTATAGGAACCAAAAAAACAAGGTTAGCGCATTTAGAGACTTTCCCAGAACCGTGGATTTTGATGGGTTAGGCCTTTGTTTTAGTTTTTGGCAGGTGGTGCTGTCTATATACCTAAGTTTTGCAGCTTGAATGTACTTCTTATGGAGTCAGCTGTGCTAAGGTCTGGGGCCCTGTTACATTTTGAACACTGAGATATAGATTTGAACACTCTTACCACAAAAGTCAGTCTGCCTCCTGCTCCCCCTGGGTTCCCAAGCAAAAGCCTTTCATGGGGAAATCAGAAAAGGGCCAGGTACCTAAAACCTCAGAAGTTGGGATATAGGGGTGGGAAGATGAGGTTCATTTCTTGTTTTGTTGTAGAGTTCATATGCCTTCCCAGTGAGCAATCACTCCAAGTACTTAGATATCAATAAGAAAAAGCTTGTAATAATTGTGCACAACCCCTCCGAACAGAAAACCTTGACAGTTTATATAGGTTCCTGGTCCCAGGTTACATTTTTGAGCAGTTAAACCTGTTTCCCAGAATGCAATTCCAAGGTTTGGTTTTTTAGACAAATGGAGAGATGGATAATGCCAAGTATTGACATAGTTTCCTGGAAATGGACCTGTGCTGCAGTTCCTAGGCAGCTGCTAACCAGGTTCATCCTGTGGAATTCTGACCCAGGTGTAGGGATTAATTATCACCTGTCAGCAAGGGTCATCTTCTCTAAACTTCCTGGTAGAGGCAAGGCTCTTGTGCTAAATTTTAACTTTTGTGCAACTTAATGTTGATTGGGGAGGTCCTTCTGTATGCTGTGATTATGTCTCTCTTATTGGTTGATGAATAAAGCTGTTTCGGCCAAAGGACAGGCAGGATTTAGCCAGGTGGGCAATCCAAACAGGGATAGAGAAAGGCAGTAGGCAGAGTCCGGAAGATGCCTGTGCATTCTCTGGTAAGCCAAGACCATGTGGAGATACACAGATTAATAGACATGGGTTAATAATTAAAAGAGAAGCCGGGCGTTGGTGGCGCACGCCTTTAATCCCAGCACTGGGGAGGCAGAGGCAGGCAGATCTCTGTAAGTTCGAGGCCAGCCTGGTCTACAGAGCGAGTTCCAGGACAGCCTCCAAAACAATACAGAGAAACCCTGTCTCGAAAAAAAAAAAAAAACCAAAAAAAAAAAAATTAAAAGAGAGCTAGCCAATAAAAGGCTAAGCTATTGGCCAAACAGTTTATAATTAGTATAAGCCTCAGTGTGATTATTTGGGACTACATGGCTGTGGGACCAGGCAGGAAAGAAACTTCCGTAAACATAACGTTTTCTAAGCAAATTTATTGGTAATCCCTTTATAACACCAATTTAATGCTTCCATTCCTAGTTTTGGTTATGAGACACCCTGTCTCATTTCCCATAGCTCCCAGTAAAAGCAGAGTAGAAATGGTTTTATGTTACTTCACATTGGATAGGGTGGTGAAATGCTGCCAGGTAGGATAGAAGACCAAAGAATGCTTTTGCTTGAAGCTAGTCTACTCTCAAAAGTAGGGTCATAAGCATGCACAGAGACGAGGGCCTCAGAAACTCCAAGGGCCTCCATGAAGGAGCAATTTTAACTAAAATTAAGAAACATTTTGTTTAAACTAATATGCAAGACAGGCAGGTTATTATTTATGAGGGAGAGAGTAGGAATTTAGAGGTTCTGTATTTGGTTTTGTTCTCAGAAAAAAAATTCCTTGAAGGAAGTCATTTTAAGAAGACATTTAGGGTGCCTTTAACTGCTGTTGTCTTCCAGGGCCACCTCAGATCATGGTCAGTATTGTCAGGTACAGTAAGTAGTATCTCATTTAAAATGTGCTGGGCCAGCTGGGCGGTGGTGGCGCACGCCTTTGATCCCAGCACTTGGGAGGCAGAGGCAGCCTGATCTACAAGAGCTAGTTCCAGGACAGCCTCCAAAGCCACAGAGAAACCCTGTCTCAGAAAAAAAAAAAAGTGCTGGGCTTCATGCATATGAATGACTAGGAAACACACTTGGCATTGTGTTAGTGTGGTGTAGATGTAGACATGTATCAGTGATGTACGGTGTGTGTCACTCACCATGAGGGCAGAGCTCCTGGTGGGAATTGCTCGTTCTCTGGTGAGGTCTTCATCAGACGATGCTGTGCTGAAGGGTGTTACTAGACCACAAGATGCTAGCTTGAAAGGTAAGTCAGAGCAGGTCCTGTGTTACATGTGCTGTATTTCCAGCACTTGTGAAGTGGAGGCAGGTGGATGAGGTCTTCATGGTCATTTTTAGCTACATAGTGAGTTCTAGCCCAGCATGGGCTACAGGAGATCCTGTCTCAAAACAAAAGGAAACCAAGAGTCAATCAACCAACCAACTAGAACAGATGGCAGAATGCTCACAATAAGACCGTTCTGATGAAGCTTGCTTTGTGAAATCTCTCCACATCCACAAACTGTTTTTTCACACTTCATCAAATAAAACTTAAAAATCACATTAACTAAAATATATTCCAAGGTTTTTCTGTGTATGTGTGAGCTCAGAGAAAAGAAAGTTTATGTTTACTTCTGCTTTCTAAAAATGTACCAGTGCTAGAATATGCACAGTGTTCTATAATGGTTTTTAAAATAAGGGACCCATATGTATATTAATTACATGCTATAATTATTATACAAATGCATATAATATAAAATAAATATACAAGTATATGAGCCTGAAAACAAATCATGCATGGATTTAGACAGCAATGAAAGAAAAATATACCTGGGTAGTGTTTACTGGAGAATGCTACATAACAACCTTACTATCAGACAAAAGACTAAGACTCAACATGCTAGTGATAGAAAGGGAAACTGGAAGGATTTCTTTTTTCTTTTGGAAGATGAAGACCTGACATTCTGAAAATCTTTTACTGCAAAACACCTAGGCCCCTAAGGACCAGAGAAACTCCTTACCCCACAGGAGCCCATCCTTGCCTGCTTAAAAAAGAAATTATATAACAATGGAAGAACCCTCTAAACTCTATAGAACAACACACACCTAAGACCTAAAACGGTAATGAACATACAGACTAGAATTCCTTGGGTAACTGTCAAGATCAGATCTGAGATTTGGGAGTTCTTATCTGTTGTCTTGGAGTAGAGTTGCACATTTTTTTACTGAACGAAGAATAAATTCAAAACGACAACAACAAAAACAGGAACGAAAAACAGTGTCCCGTATAATCTGCTTGTTTACAAAACTGGAAGAGGGTGGAGGAAGAAATTGGACCCAAAGATTAATGCAGTGTTTTCAAGTGCCCTGGAATTAAAAATGATGCAGTCTCGCCGCGCCACCTAGTGGTGCACAAGGGCAAACCATCTTCTGAGATTGTCAAACACGTTTTGAAGTTGGCAAGAGATTTTCTAGGTTTGCCAAAATCGTTTATTAAGCTATTATTCATTATGTGCCTTTTATGCTGCAGACTCACCATCAAGGACTTATGATGTTCAAATATAAGGTTATAAGTAAGTGATATGATGTTAAAGAGAAAAACAGGCAACTTGGAACAGTCATCAGTCATCAAACATAAATCTTTTATCTCCTCACCGTGAGTTCCCCAGATAAGCAAAAAATTTCAGAGATTGAAATTCTCTGACAGAAGCTATAAAATAATGATTTTTAGGGGTCTAGGTAAATAAAAAGGGGGAGATTAATAAAGCAAGGGGCAAGGGATGCTCAAGTGTATCTGAAATGGAGCAAGCAGAAATGATCCTAAAATAAACATATAGCAATAATGTATGATATGCAACTAACTATGGAAGTGCAGAGGTCAGCGACAGGCAGAGTTTGTAAAAGGAGGGTTTCAGAGATTGGTGAGATGACTCAGCAGGCAAAGGCGTTTGCTGCCAAGCTTGGCTCCTTGATGGAGTCCTGACTCTGGGACCCACATGGTGTTAGGAGAGTTTGCTTTGTGGGATTCACAAATAATTGTCTCAGGAAAAACAACAGGCAGAAATGCTTTTAGAGCAAAAGAAAAAGGAAAATAATCAAGAAAAAAGCAAAGAAGAGCAGAAGACTCCATTGAGGCAGGCTGCCAATTCCAGCCAGAGTCTGAGGACAAACATGCATTTGGGAATCCCAGTGGCAGGGATGTGCCTAGGGTCTGGGCCCTCCCATTTTCCTTACCTTCTTCCAAAATGTTAGTGCAGGAACCAGCCCAGGAAGAAGGCCTTTTCAGAAGCCCATGCCTGGTTTTTCTATCTGCCTAATATACTCCTTACTCTGACTGCCACAAGTGCGTGCACACACACACACACACACACACACACACACACACACACACACACACACAAAAACAGAAGACATATAAAAAAAGTGACGCTATTCTTTCAATTGTGGGATAATCCTACTTACCTAGAGGCTGAGGCAGGAAGGTTATATGGTCAAGACTGGCCTGGCCTGTATTGTGAAGTCAAGGTCAGTTTGGGAGATGAATTAGTGGGGTGTTATCTAAAGATTAAAAAGGGAAAGGAGGCTAAGAAAACAGATCAGTGGGAATAGGTTTGTCTAGAATGTCTGAGGATTTCCTTCAAGAAAAACAAAAACTAAAACAAAACAGTATTCCTCACATCACAAAGCTGTCAGTGTGAGAAACTGGTGAAGAACCAAGAAGCCCATTTCTGGGAACACAAGAGGAGGACTCCCAGGATATGATGAGGAATGGTGACACAATGTGGGGAGAAGTTTCAGGGAGTGAGGAGTGAGATAAGAGGTCCTTGATGCTATTCCTACCAGACATAGCCCAGCAAAGCCTGTCTACCACCATGGGACAGGAAAGGATGTGAGAGAACTCAATAAAGAAAGTCAATCTCTTTGTTGTCTTGGATCTGTACTCAGGACTCTTACACATGGTAGGCAGGTGCTCTACCACCAAGCTATATTTTGTCCATATTTAGTTTTAAGGACAATATCATTTTCAATGTTAGCAAATAAGAAACCACTTCTATCTGTTGAGTCATCTTGCCAGCCCACTGCTGGGTCCTCAAGCAGGTAGGACTGACTGGGGAAGGGCCAGTCCAGTTGGTCTCTTCCAGGGGTTGAGTGTCATGGTGAGTGCCAATGACTCAGATCCCCTACCCCCACTGCCTGCCCAGTTACCTGGGAGAAACACACACTGAGTCGGGAGTCTGTTGAAGCAGGATCTTGCTTTATTCCAACTGGCAGGAACTGAAGTAGGGGATGGGAATCTTAGGATAGGGTAAGGTGACCTAAGGAGTTAAGGGCCAATAGTATTCCACCAAGCAGGCAGGTAGCTAGGCAGGGGGCAGTCTTACATCAGGCTTTGCTGAGTCACCCCCAAATCGAGGTTACAGGCCACAGACAGGTCGCCAAACTAGCCAGACTCAGGAAATTACATTGGGCCTCATAGCTGAGCCTTTTTAGGCCCAACAGTCCACAAGCAAGAGGCAGAGAGTACTAACTGGGCATGGCTAGGGTGCTGTGAAACCTCAAATTCTACCTCCAGTGTCACACTTCCTCAAACTAGGGACCAACTATGAGACTATGGAAGGCATTCTTGTTCAAACCATCATATCTTTAAAGAATATTTTATTTTTCAGTGACCCTGATCTGTTCTGGACAGTCTATTAGTGTCACTTGTGGTGGAAACATTGGCAAAACCATATCTGTGTCTGGCTAGAAAGAAATTGAAACTGAGCAGTGTAAGCAGGCACTGTTGTGCATGGGACTGAGGCCTAGAAACGAGTCTCATTGTCAAGGTCCTGGGGGCCTGGGGGTTTTCCTAGGTTGTCAATCTGTATCTTTGTAGTGGGAATCTAGTAGAGTCATTGTATCCATGGTAAAGGTTAGAATGTAACAGTTGTTTCTCCCTCCTTCTCTCTCTCTCTCTCTCTCTCTCTCTCTCTCTCTCTCTCTCTCTCTCTCTCTCTCTCTCTCTCTCTCTCTCTCTCTCTCTCTCTCTCTCCCTTTCTTTCACAGGATATCACTATGTAGGCCTGGCTGGCCTAGAACTTACAGAGATCTGCCTGCCTCTACCTCACCAATGCTGGAATTAAAGGCAAACATCACCTTGGGTAGGGTGCTCTTTTCCCCCGTTTCTTTTCCTGAGAAAAGGCTCTCTCTTTTTTTTTTTTTTTTTTGGTTTTTACGAGACAGGGTTTCTCTGTATTGTTTTGGAGGCTATCGGTCCAGCCCGGCCTCGAACTCACAGAGATCCGCCTGCCTCTGCCTCCCGAGTGCTGGGATTAAAGGCGTGTGCCACCACCGCCCGGCTAAGGCTGTCTTATTATATAGACCAGGCTGTCCTGCGATTACCAGCAATCTTCTTCTTTCAGCCTTCTATGCTGGGATTCTTGTTTTGAAGATGACCAATGAGGCATCTGAATGGCTCTGTATAGCAAATGCTGAAGCTCTTTGGAACATTCAAATATTTCAAAGCTCTTGGATGACCACAGCCATGATTTCATTTGATTTTACCCTTAGGAAAGATCCTTGAGTTTTAGTCTCCCACTTAATTTTTGACCCACAGGACATAATATTAGATACTCATTGATTTAAGTACTCAGGTTTGGGACTTCTTTTTCTAAACAGCAATAGATAAACACAATTATGAAGCTACTATAATCTTAATGGCAAAACCTAGGGAAGGTAGGTCTCAAAGAAAATCTAACATAATGAGTCATATGTGACCAAAAGTTGAAAAAAAACATGTAAAAGAATAACAAAATACTCCAGGCACATTTAATTTAATAATACAAAATGAACAAAAATTACCTGTCTTATGAATGCAAGCTGGAACCAGCATTAGGAATTCAACTCAACCTAAACTTCTGTAAACAGGTCAAAAAAGGGAAGGGTACAATTTCATGAGATGCCAAAAATAGAAAGGATGAAATCCATAAATAATTACTTACTGAAAATTAAGAGTTAGAAAGGAACCACGGCTCAATAAATAGTACACACATACATAAGGAAATGCTATAATTCATAAGCCCTCAAATGATTATTATGGAAAGGAACTTAAAAGACAATGATGACTATTAACCTTTCTTTTCTTTTCTTGAGTCACGGTCTCACTGTGTAGTCATTGGTAGAACTTGACATGTAGACAAGGTTGACCTGAAGCTCATAGATATCTTCCTGCTTTTGCCTCATGAGTGCTGGAATTAAAGGTGTGTACAACCACACTCCATGGCTTTCTTTTTTTCCTTTCAAAGAGATCTATTTATTCATTTTTAAATTTATTTTTTCCATTCCAATCCCAGTTCCCCCTCCCTCTTCTCTTCCTGCTCTCATTTCCCTCCATCCCACCTCCCATCTGCACCTTGGATGGCCTTGCCTAGGAAGTCTACTAAGTCTGTCCCATCATCTCTTTGAGGCAGGACCAAGGAACCCCCACCCCATCCCTGTGTCTAGGCTGAGCAAGGTATCTTTCCATATAGAATGGGCTCCAGTAAGTGAGATTTGTTTATTTTTGTTTTATGTATATGAATATTTTGCCTTCATTTATATATGTGCATTGCATGTGTGCCTGGTTCCCAATGAGGCCAGAAGAGAGCCTCCAGACAATATAAATTGTATTGGTTAAGTGCTTATAGTTTGACTCAACATGATGTCATGACCATTTTGTAATTTTTTCATTTATTTACTTCTAGTATTGAGAAATCCATCAACCCTAGAAAATTCTCAGCTATGATTTCTACAACATTTATTGACACACAGTCCTCATAGTAATAATTAATACCAGATCTTCCTGGTGGTCTAGGACACAAAATACCTTAGCAAAATCTGAATTAAATCCTCAGTTTAGCTACTCGTATTTTTTGGTCTGAATGCTGGGAATAAATAAACAAGCCCAGTCCAGAAGTAAGTTCAGAGCTTGGGCTTTTCTGTGTAGTCATCAGTGGGTAGCCAAATTTAGGCTGGACAAAAGTCAACTGTAGATCTTAGGGTTTGACACAAGCCAAGTTCCTTGAGCTAGCCAGTGCCCTACTTGGTGATAGGAAATCATCAGGATTTTTATTTATCCATACATGTATGAAAGTTATCATATTATACAAAAATTGAATCCGGAAATATGAGGGTGTGGGAAGTTTCTAAATTCATTACTTCCTCCATCACGTCCAATTTACTTCAAATTATTCCTGATCCACATTGTGATTTATGACACATATCTACTTGTTTCCTACCTACGTCCCTTCCCCCACCTCTCTATTTCCTTAATTTATTTTTTCTACTGTCTCTTCCTCACCCACAAGATGCCAGTTTGTATTGTAAACACACAGTTACACCTGGGTTTTCCTCCTTCTGGCTTCAGCAGGTATCACATCCCAACAGGCACCCAGAGAACATATTTGCTGAAAGTTGCTCAAAGACAGTGAACCAGATAACTGTCTAAGATAAAGTAACAGGGCTGGGCGGTGCTTTAATCCCAGCACTTGGGAGGTAGAGGCAGGCAGATCTCTGTGATTTGGAGAAAAGCCTGGCTTACAAGAGCTAGTTCCAGGACAGGCTCCAATAGCTACACAGAGAAACAATCTCGGAAAAAAAGATTCAGTAGCAGAGCACCTGAACATGCCAGATTGCTTTCTCTTTTTCCAGACAGAGGCTACTTAATATCAGTCAGAGGCAAATCCAGTCACAACAAAAGTGGCTCACTTGCAAAGCAAGCATCCCCAAATATCCACATTTCTGTTGGAAATTCTTGTCTTAAGACACCCTGTCAGCAGCACATACCTTATATAAGGAAACAGTTTGAGGAGAAAAAGAAAGAAAATGCTCCAAGCCAAATGAAATTGAGCATGCTCATTTGTGTTTAGGGAGAGCAATCTTGGGAGTCTAAGATCAATTCAGTTTCTAGAAAAGGAACTTGGACACTTATACACCGGAACAGAGAGCTGCACCCTTAAAACGACACCTTTAGTTAATATTAGTACTTGTAATTAAGTGACAGTCAATTAACCATATAGACTTGTACGTGTTAGTGACTGCGGTTCCTGGATGCTATTGCCAATTACTCGCATTTCCAGGGCATCACGGATTTCTCACAAACAGAAGTAGCATGAGAAGACAGGCATGGTGGTGCACACAAGATAATTTTCACTTGGAAAGAACTGGGAATTTCAGGTTAACTTGGGCTAGACTTCTTGACCACGTGCACAACAGACTAGGGGGGAAAAGTTTTAAATCTGAGGATACTTGAAACTACTACTCATTTGGTGAAAGGATGCACGGCTCTGAAAAGAGTCTGAAATCAAGAGTGAAAATGCCTACTCGGGTGGTTTATGTGGTGACAACCTTGGTGCTTGTCCAAGTCCCTGGACCAGGCAGGCGAATGGCCGCCTGGATCTACTGAGTGCGGAGCGACTTCTCTCAGGCTGTCCAGGGCCTTGGAAGAGACGCCTGTATCGGGGTGCACCTGCTTCAGAACCTTGTACTTACACACCGTGCAATTCTCCTAGTGGCTAAGCTGTCGCTTCTTGCTGTCCTGCGCCCTGGGGACAGTTCTTCCGGGCAGGCGCGGACTCAGCCAGCTCAAGCATTGTATAAAATTTTAACTCCCTGTATCAGATACACCAAACAAACATTTGGAAACAGAACAAAACAAGAAAAAACTAAACCAAACCAAACTAAAAAAAACCCACCCCGCCACCAGTTACACCACAACCATTTACATTACGCAGTATTCAAATGAGGTTAATAAGATTTCCTTCAGGATTGGATTAGTTTTAGTGTTTCGTCACGAATAGGAACGTAAACGACACTTCATAGTCTACTGTTTCATTGGCTGTCTGGTCACTTCACGTTCACCAATCAGGAAGTATAAACTAAGGTGCACACATCTGCGATAGCTAACCTTTTCAAGTACGATCGCTGCTAAACGTGGGGAATGATAGTTTTTAAGGGTAAATTGTTTCTGTGGGGGGGGGTGACTCACCAGTGAGAACTTCGATGAAATTTAGCGGCGCTTGCCAAGCCCTTTGTCTAACTTAAATCTGCGCTGAACCGTTTTTTAGTGCTAACGATCCATTGTAAACTCCTAAAAAGTTTACTGCAATCAGCAGTTAAACCTTTTCATTTTATTTGCCTAGTGCTCACCATGTGTGTATTTTACCACTGTGCCTCCGTACATAAAATAAGTTATGTATGGACCCAGGCAGGAAATATCTACCACTTGCCCTTTAGAAGCGTGGCTTACTAGCTAACTCCCAAACCACACTTGTAACACCGCGCACACCCGGACACCACCGCCCTGTACTTCTCCCGCTGAGCACAGCCCACTCTCTGGCGTTCCCACCGTGGCCACGCCCCCTCGAAATGCGCAACAGCTCCTTTACTGAGATTTGTGGGTGGCTCTGAAAAGAGCCTTTGGGTTGTTGGGCTGCAAAGCATTTGGCCAAAGAAAATTACTTCTTCTTGGCTGCGGTTTTCTTTGGCTTAGCTGCCTTAGGCTTGGCGGTTTTTGGTTTGGCCGCCTTGGGCTTCACCGCTTTTGCCTTGGCAGGGCTCTTGGGCGCCTTCTTGGGCTTAGCTGCCTTCGCCTTTTTCGGGCTCTTAGCTTTTTTGGCTCCCGCAGCTGCAGCTGGCTTCTTCGCCTTCTTTGGGGTCTTCTTGGTGCTCTTCTTGGGGGTAGCTGCTCCCGTAGCCTTCTTGGGCTTCTTGGCTGCGCCGGCGGGCTTCTTAGCCTTGGCCGCGCCTGCCTTTTTGGCTTTAGGCTTGGCCTCGCCGGAAGCCGCCTTCTTGTTGAGCTTGAAGGAGCCGGAGGCGCCGGTGCCCTTGGTCTGCACCAGGGTGCCCTTGCTCACCAGGCTCTTGAGCCCCAGCTTGATGCGGCTGTTGTTCTTCTCCACATCGTAGCCGGCGGCCGCCAGCGCCTTCTTGAGCGCGGCCAGGGACACGCCGCTGCGCTCCTTGGAGGCGGCCACAGCCTTGGTGATGAGCTCGGACACCGGGGGCCCGGACGCCTTGCGTTTCGCGCCACCTGCGGCCTTACGGGCCTTCTTCTTGACGGGTGTCTTCTCGGCGGGGGCCGGTGCGGCAGGCGCGGCAGGCGCAGTCTCGGACATAGCGAAGCGTGTGTGAGAAGAGAGGACTCGAGCCGGAAGCAGAGGCACTGGCCGGGACTCGGGCCGCGGCGCTGCGCCCGCCCGTTTATATAGGGCGGAGCTGTGTCGTGATTGGTGCGCTGTCCAGCCCGCCTCGCTGGCAGCCGCGGAGTGTCCTCTCGGATGCAGAGTTGTGTTTGTTATACCTCAAAAAAAGCCAAAAATGTCAAAATTCCCTACATCGAATTGCTCGATTTTTCTCAAATAATGATCCCCGAAGCCTCGGGCTTCATGCACATCTCAAATAGTGAGCAAAGCATCAAGCCTTCTGTCAAAAACTTGCAATATTTCCCGCAGTGCTCAGCAAATTTCAACTCAGAGAAACAAAACTTTCTATTTTCTTCGTAAATTATAAACTGATCTTAGACTGTACAGTTTTCTGACCCATCAGAGACGATTCTCCAAGTGGTTAGCTTCTTATGTGGCCAAAAATCATGCCACTGGCATTAAGATTTTTATTATAAATCTGCACTTAAGTGAGGGAAGTAACACAGGCTCCTCCGAGAGTCCTGCCTATTGAGCCGAGGGCATTTGAGTTCATCAAACTGGTTTAGTTCAATGCTTAGCAGATTATTTACCACTTTGAGATAAATTCTGCTTTCCTAGGCCATGAGTCTATGCATCTATGATTTTATTTCTGCCCGCTCCACGTAAGTTTTTAAATAATTTCTAGGATAATTCTTTTCTTTCTGCTCCCAAGCGTTGGGGGCGGGGCTGTTGCTTTTCTATCTGTCTGGACAACTACTCCTTTGGGTTGAGGTACCTTAAATTTAGAAGTATAGAGGTAGGGGAGACCCCAAAACATACTGATGGTGCAGACATAGAAATGATTAATTTCCAAGTAGCTTATGAATGGTGTTCTCGAAGTCTTTGGAGGTGGAGGTTAGCTTTATTTTGAGGAATTTCTTTTGGGTCTTGCATAGTTCTTCTGGCATATGTTTTAGAAATAGATTTTACTATGCTATATTAAAACTAGGTAGAACTGAAACTGAACCATCATTAGAGAACCATCATTAGGGAAATCCAGACCTGTTACTGAACAGCTGCTCTCCATATATGGATAGTCCTCATGAAGACATCGGACTGTTTCACAGATCTCCTTGAATGTTAGTGATATGCAGGGTGAATGAAGGTAGGTTTTAATCTTAGAATCAGCTTTGAAAAGGCATCCTAACAGTGCCATTGTCTTCTGAAGACATGCCTTGAAAGATGTTCAAAGAGTGGGTTCAGATGTTCAACCAAGTAAACCTCATGGCAATGCATGCCTGATGACAATGCTTATTTCTGTGAAGTTTGGTTGAAATTATCTTCAGAAATGACAAGGCTCACACTACAGAGATAATGTTGGCTAACAGTATAATGTGGTAGTTGTTTTTTTTTGTGATATGATTGCCTCTAACATCACAATATCAATTCCACTCCTCCAAACAGCCACACACACAAACAATGCTAATAAAAGGAACACAGAAGTTCAACACACTGCTTATGAGGCATTTTTAAAATCCTGTATTACCTTTAATGCTAAATTTTATATAAATTGACTCAGATTATCAGAATTTCTGTGGTATAATGTAGTTTTTCAATTGTGTACTAATAAATGCAAACTTTTGTATTCATTAAAGCTCTGAACTAGAGAAATTGTATGGGTGTTTGATGTCGAATGACGGGGATTTAACTTCTTTTTAGTGACAACAAACACACTGCTGTAAATGGTAGGATTTTACATTAATATATTGGTATTTGTTCTCCAATATCTCTCTTTGCTTTCTTTATTTCTTACTGTCTTCAAGATGGGAGGGTGTTGAAGTCCCTGAATTTTGAGATAATCCAAGTCCTCTGTATCTTCCCTTATGATACAGTATGTTTTCTGAGACTAAAACTGTTCAACTGATAGAGAGGGCAATGAAGATTGCCCAATATTAAGTCAAGTGATTTTTTGATACTTTTTTGTAATGAAATAGGAACAATATTAGAGGCTTCACTCTTACATTAATCTGCTAGTCAAGCTGACAATAGCAGAATTACACATGAATGGGTGAAACTTCGTTCTTGTATTTCAAGTACAAATTCCCAAGTTTTTTTTTCCAGATGATTATGACTAATGACTCCCCTTATGCTTCAAAATATGAATGTTTTAGTTTTCCATAATATTCTTCTACCCAGCCAAGTTTGAGAGCCACTGCAACTCTAACTGGAATGAACTGAAGGCAAACTTATTTCTTGTCATGTGAGTGTTTCCATGGAAATCTGTGCTTTCTTGTCCTAGTTTGCTTTCTGTTGTCATAAACTCTATGACCAAAAGCAGCTTGCTGAGGAAAGGGTTTATTGCTGATGACAGGTTATAGTCTATCATCCATGGAAGTCAGGAAGAAAATCAAGGGAGGAGCCTGAGCATAAACCAATTGAAGAAGGCTACTTCCTGATTGGTTTCCTGGCTCATGTTCTGCTCACTTTCTTATATAGCTCAGTACGTATGGTGGGCTGGGTCCTCCTACATCGATTAGAAATCTAGAAAATGGCCAAGAGACATACCTGTGGGCCAATCTGACAGGAGCAATTCGCTTTTCCCAGGTATGCCAAGTTGCCAGCCAACACTGGGACTACACATGCTACAGGATGTGAGCACATGTTAGGAATACGGGGCAGCTTCATACAACTGACAGTTGGTATACAACTGGGTCAAGGAGAATAGTTTAGCTAATCTTGGCAGGAATAGTTTTTGGAGGGAGTCAGTCTTCAGGTTATAACATCTGGGGTGGGGGTTATGGGGGAGAAAGTAATGGTGGACATTTTCTATTATCACTTGGAACAGAAGAAAGCTTTGCCATCCCCCTGAGCCTCACCAGAGGAAGGTTTTGCCACCCCCATGGGGCTAATGCACGGGTCTTTGACATAACCATGCCTATGTCAAACAACTAACATTTACTCAGGACCTTATTCATACTCAACACTCCTGTTCCAACCTCCTATGTAGTAGAGTGATAGGCATAACCCACTATTCTTGTCTGGCTTTTAAAATCATTTCTAGGAACTCAAGAGTGTTAGAAATGTGGAATGCTCTGATCATTTCCATTTCGACAGGTTAGCAAGTAAGAGGAACAAGGTGGTTTGTAGAAGAGTTGAAAGAAATTGGAGGCACGTGCTTAGTTCCTTTTGCTCTGCAACTCTGAGTTCTTTGCCATTTTAATGTAATGCTATGTATGATCTATCATGGCTAATATATTGTGGATGAGATGTTTTATAATAAACAGAGCACTTATATATTATCTTAGGCATCACTTTTCCTTTTTGGTTAAGTAAAAAATAAAGCTGTGAGTTTTATACTCAAAGTCATACCCTGTAGTTGTGTTTGGAATTGTAAAAACCAGAAACAACCCCTTTGCCTATATGAATGAGGGTGGTTTAATGAACAAGGATATGTTTACATGATGGAATAATGCACAACTCCAAAAGTGTTTGAACTATGAACTACTTTAGACTGACTTAATTACTGGAAATACATTGATGTAACAATATAAATCCAAAAGAAGATTCATGGTATGAAACTCTGTGATAAAGAAAGCAAACTAAGAAAAAAAGATAAAGTAAGATACTTTTTGTATAGAATAAATTCAGGGAAGATAAAGTAAAAACTGAAGTGATTGCTTACTTATATGCAGGAGGTAGAATAGAAATAAACAGAAAAAAGTGTGATAGACATACATCATTAAATTGCAATTGTAGTGATATTTGCTATCTGGGCAAAAAAGCTCTTAAATAAATGATTAAAACCAGTAGGAATCTAGTAGAATAAAACACTGACACTTGTATTAACTGAAGACCAAGAGAGGCCCTCCCAGCACCTTTTGAGCCTGGCTGGGTAGAAAACATCCACAGGCTCACCTGGTGCTATTATGATGAGCAACTATACAGTGGGGAAATAGTAGAGAAAGAGAAATGGAGCAGTTCAGGTGCTGTGGAGAGAGCAGGGGCTGAAGAAGTGAAGGTGGTGAGGAAGAGGCTGATGTGGGTGGACTTCACTGCCACCTGGGGCCATGGTGATGTCTAGCCTGGGCTGCTGCTGAGTACTATGTCTGTGTCCATTGTCTTACCACAGCAAGGGTCTATGTTGATGTCTGTGGCCTGTGTTACCACCAAAGGCCACACAGTTGCTCAGGGTATGGGCTGCCACCTGTGGCCGTGTTGGCGTCCGAGGCTCATTCCATTGCTGGGGCAATGCAGATCTGGGTGGCCTGTGTTGCCGCCCAAGGTCATGCTGCTGCTGGAATCTGTGTTGTAGTCTGTGACCCATGTTACCACCAGGGGTCTTGCAAGCCATGTATGTGGTTAGTCAGCTTCACCCTTCACTGGCCCTGGGAGACCTGGTGCAGCCCCTCACTGGTTCCTGCAGCTGGAGACATGGCCTCACCACTCATAGGAGAACTGACCTCACCCCACACCATCGGCTTGGGTTCCTTGACCACAGGTGAGCTGGCACTGATGGCGTGGGTAGAGGAGAGCTGGCTATGGTCTTTACCTAAAGGGGGTGGTCCCTGTGGATGTCCGGACTGACCAACTCAGGTGCCACCTAGGCCCACATCCAGTGCTTTGAGTTGGTCTGCTCCAACAACTACCCAATCTATGACGTGCTGAAGTGTGTGAAGGGGTGTGGGAACAGATGACCTTGGCCGGGGGCCCACTTCCCCATCAGCCTGGGAGCAGGCAGCTGTAAGACAATGTTTACTAAAAACATGTTTACTAAAAACACGTTTACTGAAAGCAATCTGGTGTCCATAAGAAATGTTTATCGGAGGAATAAGTTCCTGAAAAGGGCTCGCCCAAGGGAACGCCCTGATCTCAACATTTTCCAAAGACTAACCGACTCTTCCTGACCCACCCACCCGCTGTCTCTGGTGTCTGGGGAATCAGCGAGGGGTAAGGAAGGGAGCAGAAGCTTTTCTTGTGGGAAGCCTTTCTTGGGAAGTTTTTCTTGAGCCTTCTTGGGGCCTGCTTAAAGTTTTCATTGCACCACC